CTGCGCTTCACTTTGTTTAGGGAGGGGCTGCTCACTGCTCATTGCTCATTGCTCATCGCACACTGCTCAACGCTCATTGCCCTATATCCCACCCAGCCGCAGGACTCCACTGCCGCCCGCGCCCCGCCCCATCTGGCCGCTTGCGCGCCCCATCCCCCCTCGATGGGGCCCGCCCACACCGGGGCCTCCCCCCTCCCGCCCACTGCTTTCTCAACGGCCCCGAGCCGGGGCTGCCCTCATTGCATACATAGTGCGCCTTTCCCTGCTTTTCTAGTGACCTAGCGTTCCGCACTGCCGTTTGGCCAGCCCATGCTCCCGTACCGTTGCGTTTCTCCCCAATGCGCCATGCCACTTTGCCAGTCATACACACGTTTCGATGCGTGCCCTGTCAGCTGCTTGCGTTGCATGTCGCCTTGCTCCACCCCTGTTTTATTGCTTTCTCTGCTTTCGCCCGGTTCCCGTCCCGTTTCGGCGGGGAGTCTATGTTGCAAGCTAGTTCTTGCTTTACCAGACTTTAAGCCCACACAAGCAAGGTGCGTGGGTGCACACGCGCGCTCGGGCACGGCATTCTGCACTCCAGCTTGTGGCTTCCTCGAGCAGCAAGTTGAGGGCTGCGCTGGTCGCTTCCCCTCCCGAATGACCTGCTGAAGCCATGCCCTGTCTTGGTTGCTGGCCAGCCCCTGCTGCAGGCACCATGGTGACCCCCGAGCAGGCGGTGCTGGCTGAGTCAGGGCCCGGCGGTGGCGCCCGCAAGATGCTCAGCCACTAGCAAGATGCTCACACTGCTGACCATGCCAGTGGCAGTCACACCATGCAGGAACAGATTTTAGAGAGACATGCGTGTTTTGTTATCGCATGTGGGCAGCGGCACTTGTCCCTCTCCGCCTGCTTCCATCCGTCCTGATCCCTAGCTTCGAGAACCAGGCATCCATGTATTGCTGGCTCTGCATTTGGTTGTTGCAATGGTCACACTACAATTCTCTGTCCAGTATCCTCCTGCTCACTTCTTTCAGGATCTGCTGTGCGAGCGGTTGTTGAGAGTGTTTGTTGAGTGTAACTGTTGAAGCAGGCTGGCCCCCGCCCACCATGCCGCTGGGGCCCGGCAGGCGGGCGTGCTTACACCGCCCCATCACAGCACTGCGTTCCATCCAAGCCCACGTGCCTCTTGCTGCCTGGGCGCAGCCGTGCCGAGGTGGCCTGGCCTGGGTGGGGCCCTGGGCTGTCCGCCTTGCCCAGCAGCGCCTCCACCGTTGTCATGTCCAGCTGCTCAAGGGTCTGCATCCCCTCCAGCATCTCTACCGCTGCCCGCCTGCCCTCGTCGGTTGAGTGGCGCGCCAGCTGCTCGCAGTCGTCGCCCATGCCGGAGGCCGAGTCTGCCGCCTCCATGGCGGCCTTGGCCTTGGCCGCCTTCACCGCCACCAGCCGGTTGCGGGCCTGCAGGCAGCAGCGGCAGCAGCAGCAACATTCAGCATCAGCAGAGCTTGCTGCCTGCTGGTCTTCTCTCTCAAGGGGTCTCGCATCCCTGCAGGATGAGCCAGCCAGCACGCGCCCTCCGGCCAGCTCACCATGATGCCTGTGATGGGCAGCGCATTGTGCCGCAGGCCGCGAGGCGGGAAGGGGTTGAAGCTGCGCCTGAGCCAGGCCAAGAAGCCCCTGAGGGTGACCTTCTGCTCCTCGTACGGCCGCAGAGGCTCGGTGAAATCCCGGCTGCGCTGCTCCCCTGCACAGCACTGCGCCCAGCTGCTCAATCCCCTGCCACCTGGCCAACTGCAGCTGCTTCCAGCCCCTGATGCCGGATACATTGCAACCACATGCAACGTCAGCTGGTGTGGGCGCACCGGTCAGCAGCCCCTTGGGCTCCAGCTCGCCGGTGGCACACTGCATCTCCTGGTTGGAGTAGCTGCACACAAAATGGCCCGTACAGATACAGTCAGACGGCAGGCCATTGCCGATGTTAGGCCGCCAGGCACTGGGTACCCTCATCAACTCACAGTCTGTGGACCAGCAGCATGCCCAGCTGAGCCAGAGTGAAGTTACGGAAGAAGTTTCCCACTGCAGGGCAGAAGGGTTGCAGGCACAACACGTGCTGAGTGGATTAAAGCAGCAGTGCAGCGGCAAGAATGGATCTGTTCATGGCATGCCTGCTGGCGCCAGCGTGGTCGCCATCAGCGCCAGCTCATCGATGGTCCAGCTGTACAGCAGGCAGTCGCTTTCGGCGTGTACCGCAAACATGTGCTCTTCACTTTTCATCATGCCATTGAACACGCCAAACACGCTGAGCAGACCTGCGAAGCAGAAGTATTGCAATGTGTGCCACCGAAGATGGCCTGCTGGGTGGGGTGTGGCACAGGTGGCTCACCCATTTCAAAGCAGGCTCCGCTGTACAAGTAGCGCGCTTCTTCCAGCACGTTCTTGTACATGCACGTGACTTTGACGTGGCCTTCCACCAGAACGAAGAACCGGAGCCTCGCTGCTGCCCCTTGCACGATGGCCTCTCCAGCTGGGACACGCACCCACTGGCCATACTTGAGTGCCTGCGAGACGAGCAGGCAAAGAACTTTCTGGTGGGAACCTTCATGAGCACAGCTGCTTGCTACATGGTGCCCCGACCCGGCCTCCTGGCAGGACTGCCAACCTGCTGCATTTCCAGCCGCCCCATGCCGCCCCGGCGGTAGAACAAACGCCACAGCTGCTCAGCGTCTTCGCTTCTGAAGCGGATGTGGCGCTCGTCCCAGAGAAGCATGGCAAAGGCACGGAAGTGGAAGATCAAGCAGACGCTGGACCTGCAGGAAGAAGGCGCGGGTGTAGCTCGCACTGGTCTCTTGTGGGGGGCCGCCAACGCACGCAGCATGGGCCAGCGCACGCTGCATGGGCCCTATGGTAGGCCCAGCCGCGCAGGGCGGGGCGCACCAGACAATCTCCACGACATTGATGCTGCCATCAAAACTAACGGATGGCCACTCGGGCATGCCCAGGATCGATGCTGCAGCCAGGGAGCAGCAGGGGTTGGCCGCTGCTGCGAGTGCAGGGGCCGTCAAGGCGGCCTGCGGCAGCGGCGAACCATGCAGCGCCCTCGCAATATTCCCCCCTGGAAACAGCCCCCAGGCCTCGCTGCATCACTCCGGAACGCGACCAAGCCCTCCTGCTCGTTAAATCAAGCGAGAACATAAATGAGGGTTTTCCTGCCCAAAGCTTGAGCGGGCAAAACGAACCAGTGAACAAAAACACGTAGGCTCCCACAAGAAACAGGCGAATGAGGAGCACATCCGACACCAGCGCCACCAAGAGGAAGCAGAAGCTGGAGAGCTGCTGCAACGGGCCGCCCGGGTTCTGGATTGTCACCATCCTTGAGATTGGGTGGCCGGAGCCAGTGTGCCATTTCCGCCGGGAATTAAGTGTACAGGCAGATAGCCTAGCTGGCGCCACCCGCCCGCGCACGCCCGCATGGGCCGCCTGACTGGTCTAACGAATATTGCAGGTGTATGCATTCAGAACAGACTGCAGCCACGATGAAGATTCAGGGTTCTACGCCACCTACAGCCTCCTCCTCTGTGCCCCACACCTCAGGCCACCAGTTTGGCCGCCATGGCTGCAGCTCTGCCCTCGCCTCGCTCTCCCCCACCACCAGCGACTGCCCCGCCGCCCTGGCCGCCTCTACTGCCGCCAGGCGCAGCACCGCCAGCCCCAGCGCACCATCCGCCACTCGCACCACGCCCACCGACTTGCGCCTGCCACCCGGCTGCTCCCAGTAGACTGCTGCACCCGGCTGCACGCGTATCGCCTGGTCGCTGCCAGCTACAGCTGCCGCGTCTGCTGCTAGGGCCGCGGCTGGCACTGCGCCAATGCCAGCCTGCTGTTGCTGCTGCTGCTGCTGCTGCGCCATACCGCTGTCGCCGCTGCCTGGCGGCGCCAGCACAAAGGGCATGAGGCGCTTGCGCACCACGCCCTTGAAGTGTGTGCGTGCCATCAGCTCCTGCCCCACATAGCAGCCCTTGGTGAAGCTGATGCCCGCCAGGCCATCTATGTTGAACTCCAGCGGCACCACCTCGCCTGCACCAAGCATGCAAGCGGGTGGCTTGTTGGTGGGAGGTGGGGAGGGGCCGGGCAGCAGCCAGCAGCCAGTCCGCGAGGCAGGTCGGTGAAGCAGGCAGCAGGGGGGCGTGCATCACAGCTCGTGGCAGCTTGCGGGGACAGGCACAGAGGAACGCATGCGTGCGTGGCATCCCTGTGCTGGCCCCTGCTCTCGCTGGGGGTGCATGCCCCCGGCCATGCCCTGGGGCGCACCCGTGGGGATCTCGCTGTCGCCCTCCGCCACGCCGTGAAGGATGCGCCAGCGGCGGTGGTCCCGCCAGCTGACGCTGCCCAGGCTGCCCGCGCCGCCGCCGCCGCCGCTGCCGCTGCCTTCTGCGTCGGCGGGCAGCACGGCGCGCAGGCCCAGCTGATCCAGGCGTGGGTCTGGGGCCCAGCCCGGAGGAAGCGAGGAGAGAGCTGCCTGCAGCGCCGGCGCCTCCCCGCTGTACAGTGCCCACACACAGTACTGCTGCGACACATCATCGATGTCCACCTTCTGGCGCAGGCGGTACCGCTTCAGCAGGCGCAGCAGGTCGGGCGTGCCCCGGCTGTCGGCATCCACAAGCAACGTGGGCACCTCGTCTGCAGGCAGGTGAGGAGAACAGGCAGGAGGGAGCGTTGTATGCCCCTGCGCAGGCAGCTCTCACAAGCGTGCCTCGCCCCCCTGCCAGGGCTGGGAGGTTTCTCCCCTGCGCCTCAATCATCCGCACCAACCTCGTGCATCACGTCCTTCAGCATCCCCACAACCACATGCGGCCAGCCGCCTGCCCACCCACCCTTTGTGCGGTGCATCAGCAGATCATGCAGGTAGCGGCCCTGTGCGTTAAGGATGCAGGCATACTGTGGCGGTGCCCCGGGCGGCTCCAGCATCGTCACATCGTTGGTCACGATGCCCTGCAGCAGCGGCAGGGGCTGGTTGGGGTATGCAGAAGGGGCAGCCTGGCGGCAAGCAGCAGCTGTGGTAGCTGCGGCGGCGGCGGCAGCGGGGCTGCCTCGCCTGCAGGAAGTGGACCAGGCCGGCTCCTGATAGACGGATCACGCTCCGCACTTCCTCCAGGCACGCAGCGCGCAGGGGACCCGCAAGTAGGCCTCCGGGCATTGCGGTTTGCAGCGCAGCTCGCCGCACAAGCTGGCACTGTCTCGGTCTCCGGAGGGGGTGATCGAGAAGCAAATGCGAAGGTCTTCCTTCGCCATCGATGGCCACTCATGGCCATCCATGCCACGGAGGCACTGAACCCCTGTGGCGCAGTGTTTCTGAAAGCTGGCGAAATCGCCAAATGCTGGCGAAATCGGGCCAAAAAACGGCTCTGGCTGGCGATTGGCCGAAGGCCATCGCCAGCCAGAGCTGGCTAAATGAGGGCAGGCGGCGGGGCGACATCGCCAGCGCGTCGCCAGCCCCCATGACTGACATCGCCAATATTTTGAGGAGAAATGGCCAATTTTCCTCAGGAACTTCATTCCATAGTGTTAAACAAGCGCCAGCTTGCTGGGGGCTTCGCCCCCAGTCCCCCAAAAGGGAGGCAAGTGCCGACAAAGCAACAGCGGCGCCGCATGTGGCCGCTGCGCTGTGCCAGGCGCAAGGGTGGCTCCCCCGCATTTCGCCAATCCTCAATGTGCCATCGCCAGCTGATTGGCGAAATTTGGACGCGACAGCAGTCCTCATCGCCCGCCCATCGCCAAAGCTGCCACGAGGGCCAGAAACACTGCTGTGGCGGGTGGGGCCCAGAAGCTTACTTGGCCAAGGCTCAATTGCAGCAAGCTTCACAGGCATCTTTGAGCATCTGGGAAGGCCCTGGTCTTCTTGCAGGAGGCCCAGTTTCCGGCCTGAGGTTGTTCTTGCGGAACCCTTGGTTCCAGCCGGCAAGCACGTCCCAGACCACTGCAGCTGAGGCGCGGCCTGTCCAGGTTTGCGAGCCGGGAGCTGGCCAGGCACCAGGCCATGCGCCCAAGCGCAAAGCGCCAGGCGCCGCCGGCGCCGGCTCGCCCGCCGCCAAGGAGCCGCAGGTCTTCTCGGGCTGCCGCCTGGTGTTCTGGGCCCACCGGCACATGGCGGTCATGCAGCAGCGGGCGAAGCAGCTGGGGGGCGTGCAGCAGCCGGCGGTAGCGGCAGACACCACACACGTCATCTGCCCGCCCAACCTGACGGCGCAACAGGCAGCCGACAAGCTGCGCGGGTGGAGCGGGTGGGTGGCTGTCAGGGTGCTGGAGTCTGTAATTGGTGGCCAATTCTTCTGATCCTTTAGTCATTAATGCCTGCCCTTTTTCTGGCTATTGCAGGCCAACCCGGGAGGTGGCTGTGGGCCAGGGCGCCAGTGTGCGGCTGCCCGAGGGTGTGGCATTTGTGACGCCCGACTGGGTGTCTCGCAGCATCCCCAAGCACCACCTGCTGCCAGAGGAGCAGTTCCTGCCACCAGGCCTGGCCCCAGCGCCAGCATCCCCGGCAGCAGCCACACAGGCAGCGGCAGGGCATGACGGCGCTGGCACAGGAGGGCAGCAGCAGCAGGAGCAGCAGGAGCAGCAGCAACCCCAGCAGCGAGAGCATCCGACAGGTGCCGATGCAGAGCAGCATCGCGATGCTGCTCCTGCTGGACCGGAGCCCACCAGCAGCACTGCCACGGTGCCATTCAGCAGTCAACAGATGTGGGCAGCAGGGCAGGATGCGCAGCAGCAGGATGTGCTGCAGGGGCCAGCGTTCTGTCGTGTGGAGCGGCGCGGCAGCGAGTTTGTGGCGGTGCAGGGGGCCAAGCCGCTGTACACAGGTGGAGCAGCGGCAGTGCTGGGTTCCCTTCTGCTTGTGCATGCAGCTCAGCATGTGCCTGCGAGCGGCTGTCTGCAGGGGGCGACACCGGCATTGCATGGGGCTCCTACGGCGTGTGGCAGGAGCCTTACGACGAGGCCGCCGCCAGGCAGGGCTGCCGAATCATTGGCGGCATGCTGCTTGAAAGCATCAATGGCTTCTGTGTGCCGTGCCAAGTTGCATTGTTGTGCGTTGTGGCCTGCCCGCCCGCAGGCAGACGGTGCTGCGCCTGGGAGAGTTCTTCTTCAACCTGCCCAACAGTACGCACGGCACGGCAGGGAACCCACACCCAGGTCAGCTGTTTGGCCCCTGATGCAAACCTTTCCCAGCAAACAGCGAAAATCCCCGCCTGGCTCAGCCTCTCCATCCCCCTGTGTATCCTGCAGCTGCCCATGGTGGCGCAGGTCAACAGCGTGTGCCGCCACACCTGCTGCTGTCGCAGCCCCTTCTGCTTGCTGGATGCCCTCAGGGAGGTGAAGGAGGCGGTGTACATAGAGTGGCGAGGCAGTGATGAGCACAGGATCAAGGTGGACAGGTTGCCTGCAAGGCAACTAGTCCAGCGCAAAGTGCGACACCCTCTGGAAGTCGCCTTGGTCCAGCTCTGCTGCGCACCCTGTGCTGCAGGCCATTGACGGTGCGCTGTGGGTGTTGGGCAGGTTGACGTATCCGCTGGAGAGCGCATGCGATGTGGAGCAGCTAGGCCTGGGACCCAAGACCACAGCCAAGCTATGTAGCATTCTCAGGACAGGGACCTGCCACCAAGTCCTAGCAGCCCAGCTGAACAGCAAGCTGCAGGTATGGGTGCGGAGGCTTGTGCTGCAGCATTTGCAAGTTGCCACTGGGGCTGAAATTGACAATGCTGATGGTCTCTTGCCTTGCCCTTGCAACCTGCCAGGAGCTGCGGCTCTTCATGAGTGTGATGGGGGTGGGGGAGCAAACCGCCAAACACTGGGTTGCGCAGAACTGCTACACGCTGGAGGATGTGAGGCGGCGGCAACAAGACCTTGGCCTGACACAAGGGCAGAAGGTCAGTGGTGCCGCCAGCGCTCTACATTCTGCTGGCAGAGGAGTCTGAATGCTTGCCAAGCCTAGCGCTTGGGCGGACTGTGCCATAGCCTGCAGGTTGGGCTTCGGCACTTTGGCGACATGCAGCACAAGGTCCCACGCATGGAGGTAGCCCAGGCAGAGGCCATTGTGCAGGAGAGATGCTTCGAGCTGATAGGTGGGCCGTTTGTGTGATGCGGGCAGGCACGCCAGAGCGCCGGCCTACATCTCCTGCGTGCCGGCCCACTCTTGCAGAGCAGTGGGGCGGCACAGCGGATGTGGAGCGCACCTACTGCTCCGCCACCGGCAGCTACCTGCGCGGCAGGCAGGAGTGTGGCGACATCGACATCCTCATCTGCCTGCCGCCCTCACTACAGAGCGCCTGCTGTGATGCCTTCCTTGACAAGGCACATCCGGGGCAATGTATGGGCCAGGCTTCTTGTGTGGTTTGGCTCGCTGACATCAGCTTTTTGTGCCTATTGTGCCTCCTCCCGCTGGCTGACTGCTGTTGTGCTGCTGCTGTCCTGCTGCTGGATGCAGCTCCTCGTGGTGTTGCAGCGCGGAGGGGTCTGCATGGAAGCTGTGTGCCGGGAGCGTGCCACCAGCGCCCCCTGTAACTGTGCATCGTTTAGAGGTGTCTGGCAGCTTCCCGGCATGCCTAAGTTTCGCCGTGTCGATGCAAAGGTGAGCTGTCATCGCTTTGTGTGGCCGGGCGTCATGATCTCCAGCTCTGCCGATACCCTGTGCCTGGTGCAATGGCATCTCCCCGCACTGCCAGCAGGTGTACAGCCACGACTGCCTGGCTTTCGCAATAAGCTACATGGCCAGCAGCAAGGTTAGCTCGCCGTTTGGAAGCCCCCTGTGCAGCATGACTACTAGTATGACTACTGCACAGTGCAAAAGGGCACAGGTCCCCTGGCAACTGCACTGGCTGCTCCCTCGTCCACATAAAATCTTGCAGAATTTCTGCTGGGCCCTGCGGCACTGGGCCGGCAAGGCACCCGCCGCCAGGGAGGCGGCGCAGCGCTACGACCCAGGGGCCACTGGGTTCAGCTTGAGTGACACAGGCCTGCAACTAGTCAAGCAACTGCGGACGTCAGGTGTGCATGCATGCAAACAGGCCGGGCAGCACTTGCTATACGATAATGCCAATTCGCATCATAGATCAGGGATGAGATTGCGCTGTGAAATTGCAGAGGGAGGCACCACCGAGCTGGGGCAGGCGGTGCCCTGCCCTGACGAGGCCGCCATCTTTCGCGAGCTGCGGCTGGGTTATGTGCCGCCACTGATGCGGGAATTGTGAAGAACTGAACTGCCTGTTCTGCCAACTCATTCTGGCTCGCTGGCGCGTGTCTATGTTGTTATGGCACTTGTTCTTCAAAGGTTGCAACAATCAGAGGGAGAAGATGCCTAGCCCTGCATCGGGAGACCGCCTTGTTGGCGGCTGGTCCGCCGCCACAGCAGGCGCAGCACATTGCGGCGTGGCCTTAACTCCGCAACGAAATGCGGACCCGCGTTTCATTGCTGGGATCAGCCGCCTGACGCGGGGTGTTTGCAGGCCCTTGTGGGTGTCGGCAGAGTCGAGACCCCGATTTCCTCTTGAGATCAGGCCGGCCAGCACTAACTGGACTGAGGGAGGACAGGATTCGGCTCCCAGCAGCATGGCTCCCAAGCGCAAAGCGCCAGGCGGCGTCGCCGCCGGCTCGCCCGCCGCCAAGGAGCCGCAGGTCTTCTCGGGCTGCCGCCTGGTGTTCTGGGCCCACCGGCACATGGCAGTCACTCAGCAGCGGGCGAAGCAGCTGGGGGGCGTGCAGCAGCCGGCGGTAGCGGCAGACACCACACACGTCATCTGCCCGCCCAACCTGACGGCGCAACAGGCAGCCGACAAGCTGCGCGGGTGGAGCGGGTGGGTGGCTGTCAGGGTGCTGGAGTCTGTAATTGGTGGCCAATTCTTCTGATCCTTTAGTCATTAATGCCTGCCCTTTTTCTGGCTATTGCAGGCCAACCCGGGAGGTGGCTGTGGGCCAGGGCGCCAGTGTGCGGCTGCCCGAGGGTGTGGCATTTGTGACGCCCGACTGGGTGTCTCGCAGCATCCCCAAGCACCACCTGCTGCCAGAGGAGCAGTTCCTGCCACCAGGCCTGGCCCCAGCGCCAGCATCCCCGGCAGCAGCCACACAGGCAGCGGCAGGGCATGACGGCGCTGGCACAGGAGGGCAGCAGCAGCAGGAGCAGCAGGAGCAGCAGCAACCCCAGCAGCGAGAGCATCCGACAGGTGCCGATGCAGAGCAGCATCGCGATGCTGCTCCTGCTGGACCGGAGCCCACCAGCAGCACTGCCACGGTGCCATTCAGCAGTCAACAGATGTGGGCAGCAGGGCAGGATGCGCAGCAGCAGGATGTGCTGCAGGGGCCAGCGTTCTGTCGTGTGGAGCGGCGCGGCAGCGAGTTTGTGGCGGTGCAGGGGGCCAAGCCGCTGTACACAGGTGGAGCAGCGGCAGTGCTGGGTTCCCTTCTGCTTGTGCATGCAGCTCAGCATGTGCCTGCGAGCGGCTGTCTGCAGGGGGCGACACCGGCATTGCATGGGGCTCCTACGGCGTGTGGCAGGAGCCTTACGACGAAGCCGCCGCCAGGCAGGGCTGCCAGATTGCATGCGGCAAATGACCGCACAGCAGACCAGGACCAACTGCCTGAATGGATGGATGCTGCTGCTGCCTGCTCCTACCTCTGCAGACAGACGGTGGACAAGCTGCGGGCATACTGGTTTCATACACATACAGCCGGCCAGGAGGCGCCGCCCACCAGCCCGCAGGTATTCTTGCACAGCCGCCAGTCTCGTCTCACCATGCATGCACCGCCGCTGAGGCCTCTCTCGTGCCTGCCTGCCCCGCAGCCCCCCAAGACCTCCCAGCTCAACGGCGTGTGCAGCCATGTGTGCTGCTCCCGGCGCCCATTCTGCGTGGTGCAAGGCCTGAGCGATTTCAAAACCTCGGTTTACTTTGAGGGCCGCGACCAGTTTCAAATGAAGGCAAGGGAACGCGCCCTTTCCATAGAACACACCTTCATGCTTGCTGGCCATCTTGTGTCACCAGCTAGATGCATCCCTAGTGCGCCGTGGATATGGGCTGGGTCTATGTGGCACCCCAGCCTGTGTGCTCTTGCCTGCAGGCCATCGACAAAGCGGTGCAGGGGCTGATCATGTGGAACGAGGCGCTGGAATCGGAAGAGGTGCGGCGCCGCAAGCGCTGCCGCCAGCGGGCAGCAGCACCAGTACTACTGTTCAGCTGTGGGGCGGGCCTTAGGCGCCGGCCACGCCAGCCGCGCGGGTGCGACTCCTGCGTGTGCAGGATGTGGACAAAGTGCCCGGGCTGGGGCCCAAGAGCAAGGTCAAGGTCAAGGAAATCCTGGCCAAGGGCACGTCCAGCCGCATCGCGGCGGCGGCGGCGGATGAGCAGCGCAAGGTGAAAGGGCAAGCCCAGCACGCAGCACACACTTGCTGAGAGGCATGCCAGGCTGACACGTGTTCGCCAGCTGCGCCTGCCCCGCTCTCAGGTGCTGACTACGTTGCTGGAGGTGTGGGGCACCGGTACCGCCTCCGCCAGCCGATGGTACAGCCTGGGCGTGCGCACGCTGGACAACTTGCGCAGCAGGACGGACCTCAACCTGACAGAGCAGCAGCGGGTGCGGCTACCCCGGCCTGCCTGCTCGTATATGTGGCAGCGCCTCGGCGGCTCTTCAAGCGGGCACGCTGCCATCCCGAGACACTGGCCTGCGCAGTGCCGATTGCAGCCGCTTCACCCGCTGGCGGTGCATCCCTATATGGCGCAGGTTGGACTGAAGTATTATGACGACTTAAAGCAGAAAATCCCACGGGCAGAGGTGGCCCAAACCGAGAAGATTGTGCGAGAGACGTGCTTCGAGCTGATAGGTGGGCTGGGCTGCCCGGCCTGGTGGGCGCATCTCGCAGTCATGTATGGGCGGCCAGTGAGCCCTCAGCTTGGCTCGTACCTGTGCTGCAGAGCGGTGGGGCGGCACAGCGGATGTGGAGCGCACCTACTGCTCCGCCACCGGCAGCTACCTGCGGGGCAAGCCACAGAGCAGCGACGTCGACATCCTCATCTGCCTGCCGCCCTCGCTGAGCCACGCCGACTGCCATGATTTCCTCACAGAGGTGCGTTCGCGCAGCAGGGCTTTGCTGTGATGGTGCCTCCTCACCTCCCCGCCTCACACGCCTGGTCTGCCTCCCCACATGTGCAGCTGCTCGCGGCCCTGCTGCACCGGGGTTTGCTGCTGGACGAGATGAACACGCGACACGCGCAGCGCTCTTCCTCAGGCAACATCGCTTCGTGGATGGGCCTGGCCAAGCCACCGGGCGCGCCGCACATTCGCCGCATCGACATCAAGGCACGTGCTGCGGGCTTTGGCCCTGCCCTGTAAGGTGCATTCCTCCAGCTGGCTTTCTCATGCTGTTCTCTCTCCCTTGCTTGTTGCCTTTTCAGGTTTATGCCAGCTCCACCACGCCTTTTGCGCTAAACTACTTTGGCAACAGCCAGTCATTCTGCCGCGCCACGCGCTACTGGGCCAACACGGGGGTGGCAGAAGCCGCGCGGAAGTACAATGCAGCCGCCAACGGCTTCAAGATCTCTGACCGCGACATGGTGCCCATCTATCGACCCCCAGGTTTGCGGGAGAGGGTGTAGGGGGGCCAGATTCCCCGGACCAGGATTCAGTGTTGACCTGAAGGCTGTGCAGCCTGCCCCCGCCTCATGCCAGCCTGCCCCTTGCCTTGTGCTGCAGCCCAACGGCATCACAGGCGCAGCAGGGGCGGCGGCGGCGGCAGCGACAGCGAGGGGGACGCCGGCGCGGCGGACGGCGGCACCACCGTGCTGGAGCCAGCGGTCGCGTGCCCCGACGAAACCACCATCTTCCGGGAGCTGGGGCTGGCCTACGTGCCTCCCCACATGCGCTACTTCCACGACTTCTTCTGACCCTGGGTGCTGGGCTGGGCTCTGAACGCACCGCGCCTCTGCGAGCCACACACAGCAGTGTGCCACATGGGCACGATCCGAGACCTGTTCTTGTTGTTGCACCGCCTTGTGCCATGCCATTCATGTGGGCCATGACAATGGGCTGGACAAATAGCGAACCCAGCAGTGCAATGCAGATGGCCGGCGGAAGCCGAAACAGCAGGCATCGGGTGGCAGCCTCATGGCTGCTCGCACCAGCGCCCGCTGGCAGGCCTCAGCCCTGCCCCCGCCCCGCCATGCCCCACTCCGTCTGCCGCTTCTTGTGCTTGGCCTGCTGCTTGTTGAACTTGGCCTTGCCCGCCTCCAGCAGAGGGTCATGCACGATGTAGTCATCCAAGTTGTCACTGCAGCCAGTAAAGAAAGTGAACAATGGAAAGGGTGGGGAACAAGCCAGCAGAGGGTTGAACATGTGTGGGCCAGCTTTGAGCATCGACGGGCAGCACTCGCCGACAGCTAGCGACACCAGGGGCAGTGCCGCGGTGCAGGCAGCCAACGCAGGGGGAGGGGCAACCACCTGCGCGACATGGCATCCTTCTGGTCCTTGGCGAAAGCCAGCCTGCAGGGCGGCTGGGGCCGTCATGTGAGTGCGTGCGGTGGCAAGGGAGAGTGGGTAGGCCCGCAGCGCCGCGACCAGCCCAGGCCGACGCCAGCAGCCAGGCCAGCTACACGCTGATCCCGTTGGCTGGCAGCGCCGCCGGCAAGCAAGTGCCGAGCTGCCTGCCTCACTTGTGCTGGCGCAGGCTGGCCAGGTCCAAGTCATCCTCATCCTCCCCCTCCTCTCCCAGGTAGTCGTCCACACGCCAGGCAGCTGCAGGCAGGGAGGGTGGCAGCAGCTGCCTGGATGGTGCGGCCGCACTGGCTGCTCTCGCTCTGCCGCTGCCATCCATGCACTGCACGTGCGCTCAGGCGAAGGGTCCCTGCCCACCCCCACAAGCCCGCATGCCCACAAGCCGACGCCCACCTGGCATGTAGGCTCGGTGGTCGATGTCTTCCCGCACCTTCCCAGAGTAGCCTGCAGGCAGGGAGGGAGGGCGGCGGCGTGCTGGGCAATAGCACACAAGCCAACAGCCGCCAAGTGAGCCAGCAATAGCAGCCAAGCACAAACAGGGAGGCACGACGCACCTGCATCGCCCTGCTGAGCTGCTGCCGGCGCTGCGGGCTGCGCCTGCTGCTGCTGCGCCGGCGCCGCCTCTGCCGCCGGCTCTGGCGCCTTGGCCTTGAGCTCTTGCTTAAACCTGGCCAGGCGCTGCAGGGTCTCCTTCTCGCGGCTGCCGCCCAGCCGCTTGCGCTGCTTGTACTCCTGCGGGACGCCCAGCGGCCCAGCCCCCAGCCACGACAGACCATCAGCAGGCTGGCCAGTGACAAGCGCCCGCACTCAGGCTGTGGAAGCAGCGCTGCCCTCAGCTGCTCGCCACCGTCACTTCTGATTCCCCTCCAGCCATGTGTGCGGCACACAGGACACATGCGCCGGCGCCGGCAGCAGCCATTCCCGCGGCCCCCCACCACTCCTGCAGCACCGCCGCACCTGCCGCTTGCGCTCCCAGTCTGTCAGCAGCTCCGAGTCCGCCACCTTGATCTGCTTGCTGGGAGCCACCACCGCCGCTGCCGACTTCTTGCCGCGCCCCTGCTCCGCCAGGCGCGAGCGCTTGCGCGGCGCTGCACGCAGGCCAGCCAGGCGAGCACCACCAGAGGCGGTGAGGTTCCAAAACAGGCATGCAGCCGCACACAGCAGCTGCACGCTTCTGCCACAGCGGCCGAGGCCACAGATGCCGCAACGATGCAGCAACGCCGCACCTTCCGCCTCTGCCTGCTCCTCTTCCGCCGCCTCCCCATCAGACTCCCCATAGTCCAGCTCGGGCTGGTTCCCCTCCTGCTCTGCAGCCGCCGCGGGCTGCTCCACGCCCATGGCCTTCCGCTTGGCCTGCATCTGGCTGCGCATGCGGCTGCCAAAGTCGCCCTCGCCGACGTCATCGCCATCCTCACCCTCGGCCTCCGCCGGCCCCGCGTCTTTCTGGGCTGCCTTGGCAGCGCGCATCGCCTCCCGTACCCTGCACACCAGGCCATGGCGCCAGCACAGCCAGTGGAGCCCACAATCTCGTCACCGCATGAAGCGGCCGAATCGCAAGCCACCCCTTGTGGAAGCACACACATGCCCCGGCAGGCAGCAGGCGGCGCCGCAAGCCAGGCAGCCAGGCAAGGGAAGGGAGAGTAAACAAGGGGGGCGCACCGCTGCAGGTCAATGTCTACCACCGGCTCTTTGGCCAGCTGCTCATCCTCCAACGCATCGTGCGCCGACTTGATCTTCAGCTTGGCCGCCGCCTCTGCCGCCTCCTGGTCCTCCTCCTCCGCCTCCTCCCCTGAAGGCATCAATCCCAGCAGGTGAGCGCAGGACGGCAGCGCGGCGAGCACGAGGATCGAGGGCGCTGGCTGGTTTGGCGCGAGGCACAACAAACGCATGTGATGTGTGGCGCCGAGCGTGGCGGCGGCAGCTCCCAGCGGGGCGCACCAAACGACATGAGGGCGAAGTTCTTGCCCTGCTTGCGCGACTGCCTCTTGGCCTCTGCCGCCGCCGCCTCTGCCCCCCTGGCCTCCGCCTCCTTGGCATCCCTGCAGCCATGGCAGCAGCAGGCGGGGCTGGCTGGCTGCAGGCATGCGCAGGTGCGGCATCGAGCCACCGCGCCGCCCCCCTCCCTCCCGCCCCCTGCTGCTGCTCTCCTGCATTGCGTGTGGCCCTCCCTCTCCCACATCCCATGCCCTCCCTGTGCCCCCGCCCTGTCCCCCTGCCTGTGGGAGGGCGCACCAACCCACACACCACACCTGTCCACCCGCGGCCGCAGGTCGTCAAAGGGGTTCCACAGCACGTCTGCCCGCGTCAGCACTGGCGGGTGCGCGGGCCGGTCGTCATCATCCACCTCCAGCTCATTGAAGCGGGACAGGTTGTAGATGGTGTCGCCTGCAAGGAGGGGAGGAGGCCAGGTCGGCAGGGTCGGGTGCGGTGGCGGGTCGGTGGGCGGCCAAGCAACGGCGAGGCCGCGGCACCAGCGCTGCCATGCCATCCACAGCTGCGTGGTGCGGCCAATAAGCACGCTGCGCTGCGGGCGCGGAGTGCCGCTGCTTGCCCGTGATCTTCCCAAAGATGGTGTACTGGCGGTTGCAGTGGTCGGCGCGGTCCAGGGTGACGAAGAACTGCGAGCCGTTGGTGTCTGCCTTGTTCTGGTTGGCGCAGGCCACCACGCCGCGGTGGTTGAACTTGAGGCGGGAGTGGAACTCGTCCCTGTGGGGCGGAGGCAGGTGAGTGGGTGAGCCACAGGGCAGCAGCCAGCATGTGAGCAGCAGCCGCCGCGGCCTGGCGCCGCGCAGCACCAAAGGCAGGCTGGCTGGCACATGCCAAACAGGCACGGATGCGCGCAGAGCGGGCAGTCGCCAGTGGCTGGCTTACTTGAATGGATGGCCATAGATGGACTCGCCGCCATTTCCGGTGCCGGTGGGGTCGCCGCCTGCAGGCCAGCCGGCGCTGCGCATGCTGCATGTCATCAGGAGCTTAGCCCACACGCTGCGGCATGGCTGCCGCGCCTCCCAACACGTGTGAGGAGCTCAGGGTGGCGGTCAGGCGGCGCACCTTGCAGCATGAAGTCCTTGATCAGGCGGTGAAAGATGGTGCCATCGTAGTAGCCCTCCATGCACAGCTGCAGCAAGCCCTCGCCATGGCCAATTGCACTGGGATAAGCAAGCAGCAACTCTTGCATCGGCCATGGTTTCAGCGACAGGAAAGCATTTGCTCTCGACGGCAGCAGGCTGGTGCCCGGAAAGCTGCCGTGCCTGCACAAAGTTGCGCACGGCCTTGGGGGCCTCCTTGGGCCACAGCTCGATATCCAGGTCGCCCAGCGTGGTACGCAGTATCACCTGCTGGGGCAGAGGCGGATACAAGTTGGGCCTCGCGGGTGTGCAGGGCGGCGAGCGGGCGTCGGCAGGCTGCTGCTGCGGCCAGCGGCCAGCACAGCCTCCGCGCGTCGCCGTGCGAGCTGCCTGCACTTGCCTTGCCCTGAGTGGGCGGTTCCAGTGTGTATACTTGAGACATGGCGCCGCCTGCAGACCGTTTAGCCCCTAGAGAGCACGATCGAGGGCGGGGCGCCTGATGGATCTATGGGGCATTCAGCTGAGGCTTGGGCTTGAACGGCAAAGCGGTTTTGGCGCCGAGCCGACTGGATCCAGCAGGGCACAGCACACGTGTGCACACAGGTTCTTCCGCAGCCAAGCTAAGTAGCTGCTTCATCAGGACGCGGCATCGGTGGCACACAGCAGCAGCAGCAGGATGGCTGGCAAGAAGGCAGCCACCCTGCTCGTGAAGCTGCTGAGCACCGCGGGGACTGGCTATTTCTACGTAAGTGACTCCTTCGAATGCTGATCCAGAGCAAACACAGGGCTTCCTGCAGAACCCGCCGGCCAGGCTGAGCACGCCCTGCGGCTCCTGCTGCTCTGCAGGTGGCCAGGAAGAACCCTCGCAAGCTGCCACAGAAGCTGGAGTTCGTCAAGTGAGCGCCGCGGCGTTTCCTGGGGGCCGCCGCCTCAGTGCCGCCTGCTCTGCCGCCTGCTCTGCCGTCTGCTCTTACCTCGTGCCGCTCTGGCTCACTGCGGGCAGCGGGTTGTGTGCAAGCAGTCCGGCAACTGGCTGCATGCGGTTAGCCGTTTTGCATCAGCTGCTGACTGCAGTCTGCGGCTGCGGGTGGTGCAGGTATGACCCACGGGTGCGGCGACACGTCTTGTTCACTGAGACGAAGCTCAAGTGATAAAGGAGCCCAAACGCTTGGCAACCACCGCCGCTGAGCGCTGCCTTGTTGCCGGCAGAGCCCCCCATTGATCCCCCTGTGTGGCGGGGAAGCTGGATGATCAATAGGGTTTGGCGCATTGAAGCCTTCTGCCATTTTGTTTTGACGTTTTGCTCCTCTTTGCTCTGTCGTTGCCGCTCTGCTCCCTTCCTGCTCCTTTCTTTGCTTGCATTTCATGTTGCGTCTACCACTGCCCCTCATGCGGCAGAACTGAAGTGTCAACAAGCACTGCGCGCGCCCAGCACATCCCGCCAGGCATGTCAGCTTCATCAGCCGGTTTGCAGAAGCAAGATGGACACCATCCCTCACACATACTGCTGCTTGGGAACCGCTGCGATGGCTGACACTGCGACCAGCATCTCCTCCGTGCCGAGATAGCTCTCCTGCACCGTCAGCGCCGGCAGCGCCAAGCGGCTGCACCAGCCCTTCCAGGTTGCCGCAAAGGGCTCCCGCCCCGCGACGATATCCTTGAGCAGCACGGTCAGGCTGACCAGGTGGTCGCGGCTACTGCCCACATCCTGCAGCGCCGCATCCAGCTGATCCAGCACCTGAAGTGCAGAGCAGGCGGTACGCCGGCAAGCAGGGGTTGAGACAGGGGGGGTCGACAACTTGCAGCGTGGTGCGCTTGCGCAGGTGTCAGCAGCTGCACTGGCCCCTGCCTGCTGTGCACCCCGTCAGACGCCTGTGCAGCAACTGAGCGCAGCGGATCAGGACCGCCTGGGCGGGCAGGTCAAGCATGCTCACATCTTCAGACTGAGCCTTGTACTCTTTTGACACTGCCTCCTCCTGTGCATCCTCGGCCACCACCTTCCCCCCTGAGGGCAGGATGGCGGAGATGTAGCAGATGCTGCCGCAGGTGACGGCCCGCGAGCACTTGGGCTCGTCTGCTGCCTGGTCGGTTGTTAGCGGGTGCCGCACCACATCCACCTCCTGGGTAGACAGGACAGGGATCAAGGGGAGGAGTTCAGCTGATCAGGGCTGACGGCAGCTGCACGATGAACTGCGCGACGGCACGTCGGCGATGCCATCACATTGGCGGCCGAGCATGCGCTGCAGACAATCTGGACCACCCAGGCGGGCTGGGCACCAGCCTGGCGCAACGCACCATCGCCGTGCTCCGCGCCGCCACCTCCTCCACCACTCCCCTGAGCTGTGCCTCATCCACGCTGTTGGCTGGCAGCTCTGTTTGCAGGCTTCTTGCAGCTGCTGCCTTGGCCTTGTCCTTGCTGGTTCCAGCACTGCCGCCGCTTCTACCTGCCTCCTCGTGCACTGCCGCTGCAGGCTCCTCGACAGCTGTGTCGGGCTCCGCTGCCTTGCGCTTGGCACCCGCTTTGCTCTCCGGCATCAGAACGCGCTTCAGCTCAAAAAGCTCCAACTCCTCTTGGTCACCATCCTCGTAGCTGCACGGCAGGAGAGGGGCCCAGACCTGGCAATGGTTGGCTGGCGTGGGGACAGCGGTGGACAGCGGTGCACAGCAGTGCTCGGCAGCCTGGGCAAACTCACTGGATCTCAAACAGCGGTACGCCATCAACATGCTTGACACTTGTGACACTGCCCTTGAACTTCTTCTTCCCGTAGCCCTGCAGCGGGCGCCGGCAGGGAGCAGCGGGACGTGAGCGGTCCGCACGCCCGTCGCCATGGTGTACGGCGGCGGCGGCGGACGCAGCACTGCGCAGGCCTGATGGCTGATCGGGCCCGCCCTAGATTGTCTTCGCAGGGTTGAACCTTGGGTAAGGTTCAAGAGGCCCGCAAGACACGCTGCACTCACGGGAAAGGTCTTGGCCACCGTTCTGCCTACGTACTCTGACATGCTGCTCTGCTGCTGCTGCTCTGCTGCTGCGATCAACCAAGGATCGTTTCAAGGAGGGATGCTGACGGGGCGCGCTGACGGGGCACGAGACAGGAACAGCACTCCACTCGGCTTGGCACTTGCCAAACACCAAGCTGCGAGAGCAGCAGCATCGGCCGCCAGCACTTTGAACCACCCTCGCGACAGCAGCTGCCGCAACTTCCTCCCCCGGCGCAGCCCCGCCATGGCTGTGCACGAGCCTGGCGCCCTTGCGTCGACGCCCGACTATGAACGGCTAGCAGCGGAGCAGCAAGCCCTTGCGGGAGGCCTTCAGGAGCGCGACGCTCTCAACTCCCGGCTGCTGGACCTGACAGGCTTGCGCCACAGCTTGACGCACTCGCAGGCCGAGCTGGAGCAGCAGCGCCTGGAGCGGGAGGCGCACGAGGTGGGCCCAAGGGGAGGGGCACCCGCCTGTCACCGCCTGTCAACAACGCGTGCCCTGTCGTGACCTCTTGCTTGTCTCCCAATGCCCTGCTGCCCCTTGCAGAAGCGGATGGAGGCGGCGCGGTGCTCCGCCCAGCTGAGCGTGGACCTGGCCAAAAACCGGGTGGACCTGCACCGGTGGCGGCAGCGCACCGCGCTGCTCAAGGTCCGCCTGTCTAGCGCGCACGAGGATGTGGACCGCTACCGCCGCATGGGCGACCTGCTGCACCGCCAGTTTGAGCTGGAGATGGCGGCCCGGCGCGGCAGCCGCGCGCAGGCGTCGGCGCTGGGGCGCCAGGTGCTGGCGCTGACGGGGCGCATGCGGGAGCAGGCAGCGGGCATCGCGGCTCTGCAGGCCGAACTGCTGCGGCTGCAGGAGACGGTGGCAGCACGGGACGCTGAGATTGCGGCGCAGCAGGAGGCCATGGTGACCAGCAGCGACGCGGCGCAGGCGGCGCTGGCAGAGGTGCAGGCGGCGTGCGGGCGGCTGCAGGAGCAGGTGGCTGCAGTGCAGGAGCGTGCCAAGCTGGCAGACCAGACGGCTGCTGCAGCACAGGTGGGCTCAGGCAGTACCAGGCCGGGGCTAGCAGCATGAGGCTGGCATGCGCTCACGCTATCATCAGCTGACACCATGCATTGAGGCAGCATCGCGGCTGCCACCGGTCCGCCCTTGAGCTTGCTTGCCAGCCCGGCTGACCTCATGTTTACATGCTCATACGTCCTGCCTGTGGCTGCTGGCACTGCAGGAGCGCGCCAACCTGGCGGAGCAGACGCTGCGGCAGAAGGAGGCGCTGCTGGTGGAGAAGGAGCGGTTCCAGTCAGATGTGCAGCACTTCAGCCAGGTGGGTGATCTGCTGCTGCTGAGGCGCCTTGCCAAAGCAAGCATGTTGCTGCCTGCTTGTGTGTCTCCACGTCTCCACCCTGGGTACCTCCACTCCCTGTCGCTAAGTGTTAGCTGCCCTCCCCATCATTCCCATGCAGGACCTGCAAAAGCTGGCGCGCGAGACCAGCAGCGTGGTGGATGGCAAGCTGCAGGAGCAGCTGTCGGCGGCGCAGGCGCAGCTCTTTGAGGAGAAGCAGAAGCGGGTGGATGCCGAGGGGGAGGCTCAGGTGCAGCCTGGCCTGGCCGCCTGGTGGCACCGTGATCCAGCCCAAGCAACAGCCCACCTGCTCCTCCGCAGCCCTCGGCTCCTTGGTGCGCCACCCATCGGGCAGATCAAATCAATCCATGCGGTGCCCCTGCTTCCTGCCTGCCTGGGCTCCTGCAGATCCTGCGCGCCAAGTCGGAGCAGGTGCAGCGCGACGTGGAGCGCCTGCAGCGCAGCCTGGCGGCCCGCGACTCACTCATCCAGCAGCTCAAGATGGCGCGCCTGACAGACACGCCCGCCCGCCAGGTACTGCTGCTGCTCTCTACCTGGCTGGTTGCCCAGGCGGGCATGAGGCTGTGGCGGGCCAGCAACCACCACGCAAGCTACCTTTGTCCGTATTCATGAGCTGACTGCCTGGCTGCCCCTACCCCCACCCCTCACTGGGTCCAGGTCACTCAGACGATGGATCTTGTGGGCTCGCTGGCCAATGACCTGGCAGGCACACCCGCCACCGACCTGCTCATGCGGCAGCGCTCGGCAGCGGCCGCCGCGGCTGTGGAGCAGGCAGCCGCTGGGCCCAGCCAGCAGCCGGTGGCCGCGGCTGCAGCTGAGCAGAAGCGTGGCAAGCAGCAGCAGCCATCGGGTAAAGCTGCTGGCAAGGCGGCCAAGCCAGGCAAGCAGGTCGCTGCTGCACAGGAGGATCCGCAGGCAGCGCCTGCCGGCAAGAAGAAGGCAGGGAAGAAGGCGGCTGCAGCGGCAGCTGGGGCTCAGTTGCCTGCAGCTGGGGCAAGCTCTGTCGAGAGGAAAAAGAAGAAGTCTGGGCAGGAGGCAGTCCCCGCTGCGACCAAGGCAGCGCGGGAGCCGCTGGCGGCGCGGCAGCATGCGCCCGTGGCCACTGCTGCTCCGGCTTCGCCCAGCGACAGCCAGTCGAGCTGGGATGATGAAGATGATGAGACTGGCGCTGACCCAGACTTTACAGAGTCCAAGCTGCGGGGCGGTGGCAAGGGCAAGGCCAAGGGCAAGCAGCAGGCAGCGGCAGCAGGAGCGGTGATGGCTGCCGATGCCGCAGCTGCAGGGCCTCGGCCGCCGCGGGAGCGCAAGCAGGCTGGTGCGTACTGGTTGGGTGGCGGCGACCAGGGGCCAGACAGCCCTCAGGAGCAGCAGCAGGAGGACGCCGAGCCTGAGCAGCCTCGCCGCTCCGGAAAGCGCAGCCCGCAGGAGGCACCAGAGGGCGGCGAGGAGGACAGCAAGAAGCGCAGCAAGAAGGCAGCGGCGGCAGCCGAGCAGCGGGTGGAGGAGCTTTCAGACTTGCCAACGCAGAAGGTATGGCATTGCATGAGGCCCACCACCTCCCATGCCCCCCAATATGTATCACCGCAAGGCCGGCGCTTGGCACTTGCCCGTCAGTTGGCTTGTGTGCTGTTCACAGCGCTGCTGCTGCTCCATCCCTTTGCTTCACCTGCAGACCAGCCAGGAGGGCGGCAGAGGGTCGGGCAAGGCAGCCAAGCGGCCAAAGCAGCCGGATGCAGCCGCAAAGAAGGCGGCACCCCGGCCGGCCCCAGTAGCGGCAGCCGACAAGGAGAATGATGCGGCACTCAATGTGCTGTCGGCCGCGGCGGAGCAGGAGCAGCGTCTGCGGCAGGCAGCCGACAAGGCGGTCACCAAGGCGGCGGATGCAGTGCCCACCTCGAGGCTGGAGAAGCGCCCACTGGCTGCACTGACTGGCAGGTGGGCTTCGGACCGATGATGCGCCTGCGGCTGCATCCATTTCCAGTGTGGTGGGTGTGGGCTGCTGTGCTACCTTGGCTGGCATCAGTAGTGGCATGCGCTTGTGCTGCAGGGTGGTGGAGGCGGCGGCGCAGCGGGCCGACATGAGCCACATGCCAATCACGGCGCAGCTGCAGAAGGTCATTGCAGCGCGGTCGTCAGGGTGAGCCTGGCCTCCCGTCATCGTGCGCTGGCATGGCATCGCCAACCCGCCATGCGGTCCAATTTCTGTGTTGGAGCGCTCTTGCTTGCCTTGCTGGCCACCAACCCATCTGGCGCTTGCTTCTTGCTGCTGTGGTCTTATGTGCAGGGCTGCCCAGGGCGAGGGCGGATCCCAGCCGCAGCCCGGCAAGCGCAAGCTGCTGTCGGCGTCGTCTACCTTCACCCTCCCCGGGGATGCGGTGCCAGCCCACATGATGTTTGGGGCGTCCAAGCTGCCGCGGCGGGCCAACACCAACAGCAACCAGCTCTGAAGCTGGCGCCCAGCGCTATGGGAAGGGGATGGGGAGTCTCCCGGGGCAGAGCGACCGAGACTGGATGGGCACACTACAAGGGGCAGCCCACAGTTGGGCATGTCGTGACCAGTGCGGCTGCTGGCAGCTCTCATTAGGCTGATGTATGCATGGACCTGCGCAGCCACGGCAGCCCCTTTTCACAATCTATTTGGCATGACGTCGTTTCAGGTTGTTGCTCCTTGTGAAGTAAGCATCGGTACATTGATGAAGGGGTCCCTGTGCTGCTGGCATCTTGGCCAAATCAGGGCTGGCGCTTCTGCTGCTCGCCCTTCTGCAGCGCGGGGTCGGCCGCCTCCCGCTGGGTGCGCCCCACGTCCGTTAGCCCAGCCCCCACCCGTTCAGGCCCGCCGCCAAAACCAGGATCGACGTCCTTGGACGTGGCGCCCACTTCGTCTGCAGCCCACCAGCAGAGTGACGTCTAGAGTGGGCACACACAGGAGCCAGGCGGCCGCAGGCGGCTTCAGGGCTGGCGCCGGCCAGCCCTCACCCTTGGACGAGGTTGCCTGCAGGGGGCTGGGGTTGGCTGCCCCCACATGCTCGGGCGTCACCTCAAAGGTGCCTGCCAGCACCTCTGGCCCGCCCTGCGCCTTGTCCTCAGTGGACATGCTCGTGCCTGTCTCTCTGTCGGTCTGCCAGCAGAATGGAAGGATGTAGAACAACAAGAAGGCCGAGTTGCTGCCCAGCTTGCAGACTCCAGCCGCTTTCCACATCAGCATTCAGCCGGGCCCAGCGCCAATGCTTTGCTTGATAGTTAAAGAGATAGCAAGCGGGTGCAAACAACAGCTGAAAGCATAGGACAGCAATAAATAAAGCAGGCACGACGGCAGCATGAGCCCACGCTCATCGCCTTGTTCCGTTTGCGGGCGGCGGCGGGCTGCTGGCCGTGACCGCCTCTTCTGCCAGGGGCTGGCCCTGCTGCTGCTGCACCGTCTGGCCGGTGGCCAGCTCCGCATCGGTGGAGCCGCCCAGCACCACGGGGGCCTGCTGCGTGGCGGCGCTGCCGCTGATCGTGCTGCCGCTGTTGCCCAGCAGGTCGTTGATCTGCAGCAGGGCGCCACGCGGCTCGCGGCTCGGGGACGGCTGATGCCGGCAGCAGGCACCCGCACACGCCACGCCAACACATGCTCCCCACCAGGCCAGTTGCGCAGCAGCAGGTGGCTGGCTGGCTTGGCTCACCCCGTTGACGATCTTCCAGTACCAGGAGGTCACCGAGAACTGGTTGATCTGCTCAATCTGGTACCCCGTGTCCATGGCGCGCCCCGCCTTGTCGCTGCCGCGGTGGCCCAGGTACACCGTGGTGGAGCAGTTGTTGGCGGGGCACGTCAGCCCGCCGTCGCACAGGCACGAGTCAAACGACCCTGCACAGCCGGGGGGTGGGTGGGTGGGGGGTTGCGGTGGGTGCCCACTGTCGCCGACGCAGCGGCGCTGTCCGCCGATATGCGGCGGCGCGCCCTCCCCGCCCGCGCCGCCCGCCCCGCAGCGCGCGCTCACATGCGCATGCGCTCTGCGGGTACTGCTGGTAGTCTGGGTCGTACTGCGACTGGACGCAGGTGGCGGAGCCCAGGCCGCCGCAGTTGTCGCAGGGGCCCGAGTTGTACCAGGTGAAGCCATTGAAGGTGCCGCGGTCCCAGGAGACGAGCAGGCTCAGCTCCTCCACAATTCCCGCCCCCTCCGTCAGCTGCGTGTTGTTGCTGCGGATGTACTGCGCCTCGCTGCGGTTCTGGCCGCGGAAGGCGATGACGGTGATGGTGGGCTGCACGTTGGTGGCGCCAGCGGCGTAGTCGGCAGACACCTTGCGCCAGATGGCGTCCATCTCGGCCCGCGTGACGCGCACCCCCGACAGCGTGTCCACCTTGACGCGGTAGGTGGCAAACACCACGCCGTAGGCGGTCTGCGGGGCGGGGAGGCCAGCGTGGGCGGCAGGCGTGGGGCGGTGCCGGGAGCGGGAACACCTGCCGCAGCCGCAGCGGCGCAGCCCACAGCCTGCTGCGCTGCCTGCGAGCTGCGCGGCACCCAGCTGCAGCCGCCCACCCACCAGGTAGTCTTCGTAATTGGGAGCGTCTCCGGTGGGCAGGACGGTGGTCTCGTTGCCGAGGCAGGGGTTGAGGCCAGGCTGCCCCGACGTCGCGTTGTACTGCCAGCCCCTGCACGCACCAGCAGCGCCATTGCCAGGTGAGGGGTTCCAACACGCGGGGCATGCACGGCTAGTGCAGCACTGCGGGTTGCAGGCAGCAAGGGCGGCGACGGCGGCGGCGGCGGCGGCGCACCACTGCGACAGCGTGCCGCCAGGCCAGAAGGCCAGCCCAAAGACGAAGGGGTCGCCCTGCAGGGAGCACGGCACAGCCTCAGCGACGTCCTCTCGAGCAGTGCGGCGGGCAGGTCAAGCGCGTGGGGTGGCGCAGCGGGCTCACAATGTTCACGCCGGTGGGGGGCGGCAGGCAGGGGTCGTAGGTGCCCGGGGGTGAGGTGGGCCCTGTGTTAATGACCAGCTGCGCTCGGGCGCCGCGCAGGGCGGCGCAACAAAGCAGCAACAACCAGGCCAGGCTCCTCATGGCTGCAGCAAAGACCGTTGAGCTCGCAGAAGCTGCCTGACGCTGCTGCATGTCGCAGGGCGGAGCGGAAGAGCCTGCCGCATGCGGTGCTTGGCCAGCAGGGGCTCAGCACTTGAGACCCGCCGTCTCGCCCTCAGCACACTCGCCACATTCCTCCTTCGCTGCAATTGGGCTTTGAAGCAGAGAGATTGCAGGGGTTCGGCACGGCCAGCAAGCCTCCAGGCGCCGCCTTGTCGGCAGGTCGGTGGCGAGGGTGGGGCGGGGCAAGCGGGCGGCGAAAGGAGCGTCACCACGGCTCAGAACCTGGCTGCTGGGGTGGTTGCATGTATGCAATCAACAAAGCGCACGCAGTGCAGCTGCCGTGAGCTCCAGTTTCCTCAGACGCTGCTGTTTGCCCCGCCGCCATGGCCGACACGCCTGCTTGCTGCACCAGCACCTCGAGCGATGGGGAAGCCGTGTAGCATGAATGCTGCCTCAGGCAGCTTTGCAGCTGTGCCATGTTGCTGGCCAGCTCCCAGATCTGCCAGGCAGTCAGGTGAATTTACACAGTGGCAGGTAGAAGGGGAAGTTCTCAGAAGGCAATAGCAGGAGTATTGTCAGTCGATATGTAAAATGGCCAGGCCTGGCAGGGCGGTACAAAGCGAAGTGATGTCAGTCAGCTGGGAGCAGCTGCGACCTGCTGCCCACCGCTGCTGCCGGAGCCCATCAGTCCCAATTTCAGCACCGCGCGTGGCACGCTCTGGGACGCACGCAAGCCAAAGAAGCAGGTCAGGCCCCACCACACCGCTGGCAGGCCCGGCATCGCCTGCCGCGCCCACCACAGGAATGCCGCCAGCACCAGAAAGCAGCCGGCCATTGCTCGGGCCTGCAAGGGCAGGCAAGGCGTCTCGTAGTAAAGGCGCTGCTGAAGAGCATGCGGAGCGCTGCAACAGTTGCCAGAAACATCCGGCAACTTGCAGATCACAAAACCAAAGCCCCTTGCCCAACACTCACAACAAAGGCGGTGTCTTTCTCGGCCAGCAAGCAGCCGGTGGCGGCCACGTCCACGCCACAGCACAGCATGGCCAGCATGCCCGGCAGCCAGACGGAGCGCATGTGAGTCCACAGCGCGGGGTCTGCGGTGAACAGGTGGGGCGCAACGGCAGGCACGCCCACCGCCACCAGGCTGCCCACCACGCCGCTGACGGCACCCAAGGACACCAGCAGCCGTGCCGTCTCCTGCTGCTCCCGCCTGTCGGCTGCCGCTGGCAGGAAGGCCAGGGCCGCCGACTCGATGGGGGTGTTGGTGAATGAGACGAGGCACCAAAGGCTCCACATGGGCTGGTGCGCGGCCAGCAGCAGCGCAGACATCTGCGCCGCCGTGCTCTGCAGCACATGGACGTTGTCCAAGTCATGGGCAGGCCTGCCCCAACAAGAGCAAGACAGCGGCACCCGACAGGGTTGCAGGGCAGGGGCAGGCCCCAAGAATTGCTAAACGAAAATGCCCCATTTCCCGGTCGCTGTGCCAGGGATCAAGGAAGCCCGCCACGACCCACCGTTCAGTTACCTGAATGAGGATGTAGCTGAAGTTTTTGGCGGCATAAAACACCGTCAGCACTCCGAAGGTGTCCACCAGGGCGTGCAGCTCCCTGGCTGACGGCACCCGCGGCGTGGGCACCACCTTGCTGCGTCGCAGGGCCCGCAGCAGCAGCCCGAGTCCAAGGTACTGCACCAGGCAGCGGCAGCGGATTGAGGCCGCAGCTGACTGAGGGAACAGGCGCTGCTAGTCACTGTTTGAGCTCGCAGGCAGGGCTCGGCACGCCGCCGCCAACTTGCCTGCGCGAGAATGGTGGTCCACGCTGCGCCCGCCACGCCCATGCCGAGCTGCCCAATGAGCAGCAGGTCCCCAGCCAGGCTAACGCACGACGTGGCCAGCACGACACGAAAGGGCGAGAGGCTATCCCGCTGAGCCAACAGCCCCGCCTGGGCCACCTGAGACAGGATGACTGCCGGCAGCGCCAGGGCGCGGATGCGCAGGTACTGGGCTGCAGGTGGAAGCACCGCCGCCTCGGCGCCCGTCATGCGCAGCAGCTGCGGTCCCCAGCACAGGAACACCGCCCCCATGCACGCGCCGCCAGCGGCCGCCAGGAAGAGCGAGCTGGACAGCGCGATGGCGGCGCTGGGCACGTCACGGTCCTTCAGCCGCTCAGCAATCAGGCTGACTGTGCCGACAGAGAGCCCAAAGAGGATGTAGTTGGAAAAGGTGAGCAGCAGCGAGGAGGGGCCCAGCGCCGCCAGCTGAAGCGCGTCGGCCATACGCCCCAGCGCAATGGTGTCAATGAGGGACATGATCTGCGGGGCAGAGCGCGTGAGCACAGTGCACTTGTGAGGCAGAGCGGCAGTGCCGGCATTGTTCAAGAGAAGGGTGAACAGCGGCTGCGCTCGTGCCAGTGACATGCGCCCTGTGGCTCACCGGATCCGCCAGGGGCACCAGCACGACTGGGAGACAGAAGGCCAGGATCTCTCGAAGGCGCTGCTGCTGCGTGCGGGGGGCTGCAGGTGGGTGGTCGGCGACATCAACGGCGGGCTGACTACTAGGCGGCTGGACTTGGGCAGCAGCGGCGGCAGGGCTGCCATCGGCGCTGCCTGGCTCTCGGCTTCCTGACGGCCGATATGCTGCGTCAGGGCTGCCCTCTGCTCGTAGCCGCTGGCTACTGTGGCGCTCGCTGCTGGAGGGAGCCCAGGGTGCCACCAAGCGCAAGGCTCCTCTCCTACGGCATTGTCTGCGATCCACGCCGCTGGCTGCCTGCCTGGTAGTGGCTAGGGGGTGCAAAGTTGGCACCATGGCCGCCATGGCTTTCAGCAGCCAGCCCTTCGAGGGCCCTGAAGGTGAAGGTCCCAGAGTTTGCAATCTAACTAGCTCAATTGAAAGGCGATCAATTTCTTCCAGCTCAGTTGGCTCCCCTCACAGGAGATGCGGCGCAGCTGCGGTGGCGCGCACGTGGCGGCATGAGCTGGCGCCGGCTGCACACGGTTCCTACCCATCAGAAAGAGCCACCGACAAACAACCCAAAGGCTTGGCAGAAAAAAACAGCAAAAATTGAAATCAAGCAGTTAGAAGCATGCAGCTGGCCGGCGCTCTCTCTGCTGCCGCTGCCGCCTCTCACTCCAGGTCGTAAGCTCCCGGTCCAGGCAACAACGCTGCTGGGTTCTTCATGGCAGGCCGCACGCCAAATGTGTAGGACACGCTCCGCAACTTACCCACGTCGCCGCGCGGCGAGTAGGCGGTGGGGGCGGGGCTGTGGACGGCGCCGGCTGGGGCTCCCAGCTGGTGGCCCACGCTGCCCTTGAAGGTGTAGCCTGGAGCCAACGGGCTGCTAGGAAGCTTGGGCGAGTAGCTGGACGGCGAGGGGGAGACCTCGATCCGGGGAAGGAAGGCCGGCGGCAGAGGGATGTGCAGCGCCGCCGCGCGGGATGACGGGCGTGTCACGCAGTCTGCCTGGTCTGGTGAGTACTGGCCCGGCCCCGGCGCCTCTGCTGCCCGCCGACTGGTGGTGCCGCCGCTCATGGAGTAGGCAGGCGAGGCAGGCCGCGCTGGCAGCGTGTAGGCGCCAGGCCCAGGGTTGGCGTGCGTGGCCGGGGGTGCCTCAGGCCGCAGCCCGAAGCCTGCCGCGGGTGAGCGGCTGAACTTGGAATTGCTGCCAGGGTTGATATGCGTTGTGCTGTACATGCCAGGACCGGGGCTGCCCGAGTCTGCGCAGGTTTTTGTTGGGGTGGGGTGTGTGGGGGAGGTCTCCAAGCCACCGCCACCTGCGCCATCTTGCACATGGGAAATTGGCTCACCGCTATTCTGTCCGCAATGTTTCGAGCCAAAGGTGAATGATGGAGACCTCGGCAGCACCGCATCTTTGCCCTTTTTGGCACGCATTCTCGCAACGGTTGTGGGTTGGGGCGCAGGCACGGGTCAACGCGGTCTGTCACAGCGTGGAGAGCGAAGCAAGGTGAAGGCGCAATCGATAGAATACTGTGCGAGGGCAGCAGCCCCGGCCTTACGAGCCACTAAAGGCTGCATGCCACACCGCCACATCGTGCACAGCGGGGGACGCGCTGGAGGCGCAGCGCTCACTGAACTTTAATTGTCTGGTGCAATATGTCACATTGTTGGATGCAGAAGAGAGAATCAACAGATGAAAAGCGCAACTTAAAAATAGTGGTAGGAGCGGGGTAACGTTGAGCGTTCCATCGCGGTGAGCGGGGAGGGCGCTTCTTATGCAAGCCTGTGCCGATTGAGCGGGCTGTTCACCATCCAAACCATCGCTGGTTGCTGCACTCCAAGTTGGTCCCCATTGTGGTGCCCAACAGCGCGGAATATCGGCTGAAGTAGTTGATGCGGTCCCAGACCGCCGGGGTGGTGGGCTGGTTGCACTCCAAGCCGCCGTTGATGATGTTGGTGGTCAAACCGTAGCCAGGTACCCGGCCAGCAGAGATGTCGGCAGCTGACGGCGTGTACCTGCGCCGCATGACAAGGTGGGACACATGCGGGCTGGGCCCAGCGCAGCAGCCACAACCCTGCGTACAAGACGGTGGAGGCGATGAGAACAGCTGTTGGTTGCCGCTCACCCGCCGGTCATGACCGCGTGGCACGAGGGCTTGGGGTCCTGGGGCGTCATCCAGAACCAGAGGGCTGTCTGGAAGGCCACAGACGCGTTGGTATGCACCAGGTCGGGGTTGTTGAGCAGGTCTAGGCCCAGGGCAGGGCCCGCCTGGGCATAGCTGCAGCACGGGAGGCGGTGGCAGGTGGGCAGCATGCATGGCGATGAGAGGGCAGGCGGGCGAGAGCGCCCACTTGGCGCAGGGAGCTGAGCGGGCACGCTGCTGTCCAGCTCACTTGTAGTTCCAACTGAGCTGGATGGGGCCCCTCCCGTAATACTTCTTCCCCGCTTTGCAGGGATAGGTGGTGGGGTCGCAGTAGGACGCACAGGCGGCATCGTTGCCGGCCTGGACGCAAAGCTCCACCTTCCAGCACAGGCCCCAATCATACAGATTGTTTTCAGCGGGCCCGCCTGCAGGCAGCAACAGCCAGCAGTTAAGGCACAGAGCGGAAGTGTGCAGACAAGCAACATAAGAGCAGGAAGACATGCGCACCGGTAACTTCGTGAGAGATTTGTGCTAGGAAGGCAGCCAGCTCGCGACGGTTGAGGTCATCATCCGCTGTGTTGGCAAATTGTGGGTATACCTTGGTTGCTGCACATGGCACATGGGCGGGAGTGATGGGCGGAAGTCTGAGGTGGCACGAGATGGTGAGGACGCCAGTGCACGCATGCTCCAGCAGTTGACCACACCATGCACAGCGAGCAAGTCGACGTACCTGCGATGAAGGCCTCATAAGTATAAAAACCTGCCCCAGTGCATGCAAAGTTGTTGATGTTTCTGAAGATGGTGGACCAGAGGGAGGAGGAGAGGTAGCGAGCCACGCCAGTCCCGGTGCCACCATCGCCACTGCTGCTGCTGTTGCTGCCGCCACCAGGGGGCGGGGGCGAGGGCGTGGCCTCCGGCTCGGTGGTGCACTGGACATTTTCTGCAGCAAAAGAAGCTTGCTGAACAAACATGGATGAGCACGGCAGCGGGTGACAGCACTGGCCGGCAGGCAGCATGCTGCGATGCCGCGCAGCTCCCACCTGGCCAGTCGCACTGTTGGATCGCATTGTTGAACTGCAGGCCTGTCCCACAGTCGCGGCGGTAACTACTCTGCCCAGCCTCGCCACATTCATAGTACTTCTTGCAGCCGCTGGACTGGTCGGCATAGCGGCCAGTGCGGGGTACCGGCGTGGTGCACACACAGGTGGCATTGCTGGGCACGCAGCCGGAGCTGTCGGGCAGCGGGCGCGGCGAAGGCGGCGGTGGCGGCGGCGAAGCGGTGGGCAGCGGGTTGCCGTCGCCCAGGTCTGAAGACAGGAGCGCAGCGACAGTGCAAACTCAGCCTGCTGGCCTGCGCTGAAGGCATGTTGCACAATGTGAAAGGTCTCGCTGCTCCACTCACTGCGACCCCATCAACTCCACCTGCACGCTCACCGCAATCAACCAGGCACTCTTGCGGCAGTTGGCTGAATACGCTGTAGCACTCATCATCTGTCCGCAGCCCAGAGCCCTCGTAGAAAACCTTCTTCACACAGAACCTGAGCAGGAGCCAAGTGGGGCCAGGAGGGTCAAGAGGGCAGCAGTGCCTGTGACATTGCACTGCAACGCAAGATGCACACCCTGCCACTCACCCGCCACATGCCACGCTGCCTGCATCGCAGTCTGGCCCAATGGTGCATTGCAGCTGCAGGCCATCCTGTGTAGGCAGCAGCGTTCGCACGTCCAGCTTGAGACCTTCCGGGCTGCAGGCATGACCAGAACGTGTTGAATAGCTGGATGGCGGATGCATACGCATGCGATGAGCCAGCAGTGTGAAGCCGCCAAGTGATGAGACTCTAGCGCTGCCGCACCAGGTGTAGCATTGGTTGTTGATGAAGGTAGCTCCCTCTCCGCATTGCTTGTACACAGGCGTCTTGTCCACCACCCGCGATATTTGCTTGATGGGGATGGATGCATTGCGAACCTGTGACGGCAGACAAACGGGGGCAGGCGCAGCATGGAACACACTTGGGCCAGCATTTCGCCCCATTGCTCCTGCCCGAGGGCAGTCCAGCAAGGTTGGACCAGCATGCGCAGCAGGCCTGCGGGCAGAGGGGGCTGTAGGTTCGCACCGCACCTGGCAGGGGCTTGCACGCAGCACATACACCGAAGGGCTTGTGTTGGCCTTCCGGCAATGTGTGGAGTTGTGCTGATTAAACCCAGCTGCAACCAAGCAAAGGGCAACGGTGAGGCAGGGCCTCCTTGCTTGGTTCATGCGCCAGAAGATGCAGTCATCCTTTGCTCTCACATGGACAGGCTGGGCAACAGAGGGATCCAACTGCCGTGCCCGACGTGCAGCTGGGGTAGCAGCGGTTGGTGGACAGGATGTACTCTGGGGAGGCGGAGGGGCACCTGCAAGTGCAGGCAGCTGGTGCTGCTCACGATATGATGGTGGGCAACAGCACTGGGCCAGTAAGCCTGGCCGAAGCTTACCTGATGCACTGGGTGCTGCCCGCCACAGCACCACCGTCGCCAGATGTCAGCGTGCCAGTGCATGGATTCAGGCACTGGTCTGGTCGGTTTGCCTGCAGGCGGCATGGTGCAGGACTGTCGTCAAACCAGGTCAAGCGCCACTGGAATGGACAACTGCTGTGGCATGCTACCGTGGCACCTGATGCTGTGCCGCCAATCAGCCACTCTTACCCTTGCGGTCTGCGGCGCAACGCACCCATTAGTATAGCACCTGCAGCAGCTCGCCCCCAAAAGAGACATCTCAATGCTGCATTAACAGTGACAGCTGGCAGCAGACAACCCAAACAGTGGGCCGACACCCCCGCATAGGTCAGCCTGCATCCGCGCTGTGTCACCGCTGCTGCTCGCCTGCCCAGATATTCCGTAGCATTTGCCGGGCATGAGCCACCCTGGACGTTGGGCTCCTTCCGCTCCGAAATGAGCGCCGGGCACACCGGCGAGGAAGCGGGGGCGTCAGGCAGCGGAAATGCCAGGTCTGCAGCCGTAGGGCCAGCAAGGAAAAGGAGGTCTCCAGCCGCATGTGAGCCCGCGCAGCTTGCGTGTGGGCTGCTCAAGGCAAGTCAGGGCAGCTGCATGGCCAGGTGTCGGCAGGCAAGAACTGGCAGGGTTTCCCTTGAGGCGTGCGCACCGCAGCTGGCGTAGCACTTGCTGGGCAGCCGCCCCATCGCCATGTCGCACATCTCGTCGTACAGGAAGGCCTCTGTCTGCTGGAAGAAGTTGCTGGCCACACAGAATCTGCAAGAGGCAAGAAGGCAGAGAGGAGGTCAGGCAACTGACAAGCGTGAGCCCTTAGCAGCACATTCAAGCAGGCCATGCCCGCCCCCAGATCACCTGCCGCAAGACACGGTGTCGTCAAAGCAGATTGGCTGCGTGGTGCACTTCAGCTGGTAGGTGCCATTTGCCTGCATCCTATCCTCCAGAGTCAGGCCCTCGGGGCTGCACATGGGGGCCGGGCGTTTGGGTCACCGCTGCCGATGGGGCGCACTTCAGGAGCGAGGTAGACGCTAGAAAATGCAACAGCTGCCTGCCAGATATACCCAGCTCCTGACAGCTGGCGCCAGGCACATAGCCATTGGCACTAACGGCCTGGCTTATGTCCGCACCAGGAGTAGCACAGATCATCGACCAGGGTCGCATCATCTGCACACCGCTTGTCTAAAGGCGGGTTGGCGGCCAGCCGCGATATTTGCTTGATGGGGATGGATGCGTTGCGAACCTGTGAAAGGCAACAGGGGCAGGCGCAGCATGAGAGAACACTTCGGCCAGCATTACGCCTCATTGCTCCTGCCCAAGGGCAGACCAGCAAGGTTGGACCAGCATGCGCAGCAGGCGTGAGGGCGGGGGCCTGCAGCTGCACACCGTACCTGGCAGGGGGTTGGGCGCAGCCTATACACCGGAGGGGTGGTGTTGGCCTTCCGGCAATGTGTGGAGTTGTGCTGATTAAACCCAGCTGCAACCAAGCAAAGGGCAACGGTGAGGCAGGGCTCCCTTGCTTGGTTCATGCGCCAGAAGATGCAGTTATCCTTTGCTCTCACATGGACAGGCTGGGCAACAGAGGGATTTAACTGCCGTGCCGGACGTGCAGCTGGGGTAGCAGCGATTGGTGGACAGGATGTACTCTGGGGAGGCGGAGGGGCACCTGCAGCCGCAGGGCATGCATGGCCACGGTGGCCGAGTAGCAAAGGGCCCATGGGAAGAGCCAGGCAGCCTAACAGACAGGCAAGCAAGGAAGGCAGTGCCTGCCTGATACACTTGGTGCTGCCCGCCACAGCACCACCGTCACCAGATGTCAGGGTGCCGGTGCACGCCTTCAGGCACAGATCTGGCCTGTTGGGCTGCAAGAACAGCGCAGAACACGCCACGGCGATGAGGAGCGCAGCATGCTGCATGGCATATAATGTCTCTGGGCCAGAAGTAGGGACATGCAGCTTGCAGCGCAACTCACCGCCTTTGTTAGCGGCGACTTGCAACTGGCATAACACCTGCACGGTGGTGGCACATGTCACACGCGGGCGCCTTGCCACAGTCCCATGGGACAGCTGCCCGCTTGGCTGCCCAGTTACCAGGCGTGCATGCTGGCTCAGAGAGCGGCAAACCACACAGCAGCATCAAGGTTCAAAGCACAGACTCGCCTATCTTTGTATTCGGTGGTGCCTGGTTGGCACGCCGGTGGTGCCACCTCTGCCGCCGTCTCCTCCGTGACTGCCGCAGGGCAGAAGGGTATGGTGCTTTGCAGCAGTCCACGCCCCCTGACTATGTTCCCAGGGCTGCCCCAGCACGCAGCAGGGAGCGTGGCCAGCACCAGTGCTGCGGCGAGCACAGATGTCCTCATTGCCGTCGGCAAGCTGCCGCCACTGGCGCAGCGGTCAGGGTAGTCGGGGTGGCTGTGTTGATCGGCGCTGCCTTGCACTATTTTAGACCGCTTCTGGGTTCCTCACAACGGCGTGCAGTCTCGCTCAAGCAAGCGACAGGGTGTAGACCTGGACAGCTGCCCCCTCGCTGGAGCGGCGGCGCTCTGGGCACCGTGTAAACTGCACTGGGCAAGCGCACATCCGATCGTGTAACGCCAGCGGGCTGTTACATTCAGTTTCGGACATTGTACGGCGATGTACCGTGCTCTGGGACTTGCGGGCGCTGTAACCGGCCCTTCGATGGCTCGCACACGGTGTGATGCACACTCACACATCTTTCACATCGTCCAGGCGTGACCGGAAGCCTGCACCCACTCCACAGCGCGGCACCGGCGGCGCACCAGCCTGCTGGCTCTGGTTGGACGGAGGGAGCTGCGAGAGCCATTGCATTTCCCCAAACTTGCCCTGAAACTATTTCACGTTTACAGCAGACTGGGTATTCCATGTAAGTCACACCGCCTCCATCTCATCATCCGCCGCGGCCACTGCCCTCAGCTGCTCCAGGGCGGTGGTGGCCCGCTCCTTGACCGAGACACACTCGTCATGCTCCAGCCTGCACAGAAGTGGGGCAGTGCGGTACGACAGATGGGAGCCCATGCTCGGATATCAGGCAATGGAGCAGGCATGCAAATGGTGCTAGACCCAGCCACAGCAAGCCGCGCACGTGCCCCACCTCTTGAGTTGTTCCTCTACCCCCAGCAACCGCAGCTGCTGCACCCGCGCCGCCGTCTCCTCGGCATCGCCGTCCCGGCTCCAGGTGAGGTTGATGATGGCCCAGACAGCCGCCTCCCGCACCCGCTCGTCGCCGTCGCTGCAACACAGATCAGAGGCAGTGGCGAGGTGCAAGAGAATGATCTGCCGCATCGTGTGGCATGCCAGCAGCGGGTCGGTTAGCCAGAAGGGACAGGCGCAGTGGGCATGTGCCGCCCCTTGTGGCCTCACCTAAGCTGCTCCACAAGCAGCGCCGGCCAGCCGGACTGCATCACTGCCGCCTTGTGCGCTGCGGTGCTGCTGGCCATGTTGACCACCACATACATGGCATGCTGCTTGAGCTGCAGCACAGCAAAGCCAGGAGGGGGCAGGAAACAGGGGTGATGCAGGGGAGTAGTGAAGGTCTGCAGAGCTGGCTAGGTGGCCTACCAAAAAGCAGGTGCGTCTGTCGGCATGCACCCCAGGCCCCGTCCTGCCTTACCCCTGCCTGCCCCCGGCTGCGCTCCAGCACGTCCCGCACGGCCTCCAGCAGCGTGTTGCACGACCAGTTGAGCACCGCTTGGATGTTATGCTGCGAGCAGGAGCAAGGAGTGCAGCGAGCCGGGCAGGGTGGTTTGGAGACGGGGAAGGGGGCAGGCGGCAGTGCCCGAGCCAGCAGCGCAGGCATGGTGTGAGACACGAACACTGCATGCCAGGCCGACAAACAACACATGCCAGGCAGGGCGGACACACCTCGGCATTGTACAGCATGTTTCGGAGCAGGAGCATGGCCTTCTCCTGTCAACCATTCAGCCAAGAGGGTGCGTGTGGTTAAGCGGGAGGCGGTTTGTGCTATAAAGGCAGCCTGCCAAGTCCTTGAGTAGGGGGACAAGGCTGTGCTGGCAGGGGGACAAGGCCGGCCATGAGCATTTGCAACTGCGCCCACCCACGCGCCACCCACCCGCACTTCCGGCTCCGGGTCCTCCAGCAGCACCACCACGCTGCTCCAGGGCAGCTGCTGCGCGATGGACTGCTTGACCTGCGCAGCAGGCGCACACAGCAGCGGTGCGTGAGAGACGGGGCGGAGCCCGGGCTGCCGCGCCATCCTCGCTGCCGCCGCCGCCATCACCCCGGCTCCCGGCCGCACCTCTGGCGTGGCCATGTAGGCCACACTGGACAGCCCCCACACGCCGTGCAGACGCAGCTGCGGCTGCATGGAGTCGGCCAGCGCCGCGAAGCGCGCCACGCCGTCGTGCGCCAGCAGCTGCTCCTTGACCGCCGAGAAGTCGACGGCCATGTTGGCCAGCGTGCCCACCGCCTGCAGCGCCACCTCCGCGTCCGGGTCTGCCGCTAGTGCCAGCAGCGGCGCCGCCACCTCCACGTCGCCTAGGTGGCCCCTGCGGGCAGATGGGCAGGTGGGGGAGGTGGGCAGGGGCCCCACCAGGGAGGCATGCTGACCTATACACAAGGTTGTGGCGTGGGGAGCTGGGCAGGCACCCTGGAACAACAGGCAAGCCACGGCCATGCCCGCACCTGAGGAGCTTTGTGCTCCGCGATAGGCTGCGCATGCACATGCAGGCTGCTGCTCGTGTGGAGGGACGCGTATCGGACAGCGCTGCCGCCACCTGCAAAATACGCCACATGACAAGGTCTATGCCCCTGGTCTACATTGCAGCCTGTCTCGCAGCCACATCGCAGCGCCCTTCAACTCATTATCTGCCCCTGCCAGCACTGCCCTACCTGCCTCCCTGCCCGTCCTGCTGCCTGGACTGCTGGCTCACCTGTGGCAGCACCTTGGCATCCACTAGCTGCCGCCGGTGCTCCTCCCGGTTGGCACACAGCGTGGCAAGGCAGCGCAGCGCTCCCTCCACCAACCGTGCGGGGCGGGGCGGCTCCCTGCATCAAGCACTACCGCAGGTTGCCACCTCCAACCAAAACCACAAGCCAGCTTGCAATGCAGAATGGATGAGGGCTAGCAGGAGCGCCTGGAGCAGGCACGCAGGCAGGGAGGCGCACCTCAGGATGGCAGCCAGCTTGACAATGGCATCTGCATCCGCTGCCGCCTGCTGCAGCTCCACGCTGTGCTCCACCAGCTGGCATAGCGCGCCTGGCACATCCTCTGCCAGCTCTGCCTCCCCCAATAGCCGCACCAGCACGGGCAGCACAGCTTGCTGCAGGTCCTGCAGGGCGGCAAGTGGGAGGGGCGACAGCAGAGAAGGCGGCTGGCATGGGGCATGCTGTGCCAGCCAGCCATGCAAGCACTCAACTCTGTTTGGTGGTCCAGTTACCTGCTGGCTGTGCTCCGTGTGCCACACCGGCAGGTTGCGACTCAGGTTGGCCAGGCAAACGGCGGCCACAAAGCGTGTGTGCGGCGTACCCCCCTGCTTGATGGCCCGCAGCAGGCTGCTGACCACCGAGCCGTCCTGCAGCATAGCAGCTGAGGTGTCTGCGTTGCCGCGGCTGAGCGCTGCCAGCGCTTCCAGAGCTGCCTCCTGCTTGGCGCGCTGCGGCGAGGACAGCAGGGCCACCAGCGGCGCCACAGCGCCTGCCGCTGCCACCGCGCCCTGCTCCTCCGGGCCCTGGCAGTAGCAGGCCAGCACCGCTGCCGCGCAGTCTGCTACGTTGCTGGTACTCGAGTCCAGAAGTGACACTAGGCGCAGCAGCACACCCGAGGCAGTCAGAATTTCACAGGTAGGCGCCGCCGGGGACTGCACATCGGAAGATGGGCAGGCGGTGCATCAAGCCGGGCGAGGGCCAAGCCACAACTCGAGATGCGCAGGCTGCAAGCAAGACGGGCACAGCCCCGCCGCCGCTCACCCGGCAGACCGCCTTGAGCGCACGGGCCGCAGCCTCCACCACCTTGCTGTCCTCGCTGTTTTGCAGCACCCGCAGCAGGTGGGGGATGCCGCCGTGCTGCAGCACAACCTGCAGGCCCTCGTCGTTGGCGGCAAAGCTGCCCAGCGCCGCCGCTGCCTGCACCAGCTGGGCGGCGTCGGCGGCAGGGGAGGCCAGCACCCCCACCACCAGCTGCACTGCGCCCAGCTGAATGTATTGCAGCTTCTGCCGCTTGTTCCCAATCACGCAGTTCTTGATGCCACGCAGCGACTGCAGGGAGGCAACTCAGTGACGCTAGGGTTGGCGGCGGCGGTGAAAGTGCAGAGCCTCCCTCCCAACCCGCCGCTGGCGTCTGTGATGTCACTGAGAGCGCCGCAACTCTCCAAAGGCGCGCTGGCAGCGGCAGGCGGTAGTCCTTTGCTCGGCACACCTGCAGGCGAGTGGCGGAGTCACTGGAGTGCAGCCCCTCAACCAGCTGCTGCCGCCTCACTGCGGCCATCGCCATCAGGCCTTCTGCGGTGATCAGAACGGCTGCACTCTGCCTCTCGCGTGTGTGATCAGACTGGCGAGCAGACAATTGAGGCCGGCAATTGCTGTCGAAAATCAAGCGCAGCGACTGGATTGATATGCGGTTCATATAAATGTGTCCACTGGCATGCCATCCTGACTGGCGCCGACGGCGGCGTACCTGCACTGGCGGTGCAGAACCGCACATGATTATCGTTCATACCATTGCATCTCCCGACAACCCCAGAGCGATGTCCTCGCATGCATGGCTGAGCATCGACCCTGCCGACCCATCTGCTGCTGGGATAGTGTCGCCGTTGCAAGCGCCGTAACGGCAGGACAGGCAGGCAACAGTACAATCGGGCACGAGTAGCATCAAATGCATTAGATCTGAGGCAGGTTGGTGGGTGCGCAATGGTCCCCACTTGTCGCCAAAGGAGCACAAAGCCGGGGTAGCGGAGTGTGTGTACGGAGATGGGAGCAAAGGGGAGAGGAACAGGATGAAAAGCGTAATTGAGAGAAAAAATGGTTTCAGAGGCTAGGTCGCTAGAGCAACAACCTCTCGCCGGTGGGCAGCGGCGGCCAAAAGCACTGCTGGCAGCTGGCCACGCGCGGCACCTCAGCGGAACTGAGGCTCAGGGCTGCTGCCGCCAAAGTTGGGCATGGGCGGCGGCGCAAAGCGGTCCTCGGACAGGTCACCCGCGGGGGCGGGCGCCTTGTCCTCCTCCTTCTTGCCGCCGCTGAACCAGCTGCCAAGCCAGCCGCCGCCGCCGCCGCTGGCTGCCGCCGCCGGCTCGGCGCCGGGCGCTGGCATGGGCGGCGGGATGGCGGGCATCTCCTCTGACTGCGCACCCATGCTCTTGCCGCTGCTGGGGCTGGGGCCCGGCATCTCCACCATGGGAACTGCAGCCAGCCACAGGTGAGGTGCAGCGACATGAGCGCGGGCGCGGGAGCGGCACCCACGGGGCGCACGGAAGGTCCAAGACAGCTGCTGGAGGCAGGCGCCGCAGCGGCGGCAGCAGACCACGGCGCATGGCGGGCGGGCGGGCGTACCGGGCGCGGGCGGCGGCGCGGTGACGCGTGTCAGCAGGATGCCCACCCCCTCAATCATGGCCAGCAGCACGCCGCCAAACACAGCCGACTTGCCGGCCGACTTGAGGCCCGTGCGCAGCTGCAGGAAGCCGCCTGCGGCAGGGCACAGCAGGGTGCACGGGCAGGACGGCGGCACGGTCGGCTGGGGTCGGCAGCCAGGTGCACAGTACAGGCCAGCCCGCCAGCTGCGCGCATCCCTCCAGCTGGCCTGCACCCCAGGGATGACACTTCAGCCCATGCCCAGCGCCACATCAGGCGGCCCGCGCCCCACAACGCACCCGTCAGCGCCCCCGCTGCGATGCTGTTCCACGGGTCCTCCTTCTTGCGCACAGCCACCAGCGTGCAGTCAAAGGTGCTGAACAGGCCGCCCCACACCGCAAAGCTGCCGCCGATGCGCGGCGCCTCTCGCCGGATCGCCTGCGCCAGGCGCGCCAGGCAGGATCATGTGAGGGTGGGTGCAGGGAGGCGCGGCTGGCAGGCGCAGGGAAGAAGAAGCAGCAACCATGACCCGAAACAATCAGGGCAGACAACAACCAGGCTGCCGAGTGGTCTGTTCTGCGCACGCACATCGATGCCGCCCACGAAGCGGTGCCCGCTGGGGCTGTTCTTCATGCCCTTGAGCAGGTGCCAAAGGCCGCCGCCCACCACACCCATACCGAACGCCCCGCCCACGTCATCCAGGATCCTGCAGCCGGAGCGTGCATGAAGAAAGTTAGACTGCACCACAACAAAGCACAGACTGGTGTTGCCCCTGCAGAGGGGGCAGCGGCGGGGCGGCCAGCCGCCGCTGCCCGCGAGGCGGGTGCAGGCCACCACGCCAGCAGCGGTGGGCTGCAGGCTGCTGAGAAGATCCCAAGCAGCCCTCGAGCGCGGCCAGGCCCCCCAAAGCTAAGGGTTGGGGTGGCGGTGGGGCGGCGGCGCCCTGGCAGGGGGCCATGCACATGCGAGCGCCTCGCTGGCCGCACCTGTCTGGGCAAGGTTCCTGCAATGTCAGAGAGGCAGCTGGGTGAGATAGCGGTCGTGGGCAGGGGCCCTGGGCGCTGCCTGAGTCGAAGCAGGAACCTTGCGCACCACTCACCCTGCCATGGTCCACTGAGGGGCCTCCCTGCTGCGCCATCGCTCTAGGCTGTTGTCAGGGCTCAACTTGGAGCAAGCACGGGGGCAAGGGCCCACAAAACCACTCTCACACAGTGAGCGCGCAATGCGAGGCGCTCTGGGCGCAGGATGGGCAGACCTAGGTGCACAGCAGTGACCAGAAGACGAGAGGGACCCTCCAGAGGTGAGCATCCTCGTCCATGTGCCAAAGGCGGCCAGCCTGTCGCGCCCGCTTGGCGAGGCACGCAGCATGGCCTCCCAGGTCCTCATTTGGGCTCTTGATAGCAGCACAGGGTGTGCCTCGCTCGCAGGAGTTCCCACCGGACAGGATCGCGGCGCCCAGTGGCAAGCGATGGAGCCTCTGGGGGGGAAGGAGGCCCCCAGCTTGACGAAGGCCCTCAACCGAGATGCACTCGAGGAAGTGTTTCTCCACTGCAGCCCAGAAGACCTGCTTGCGCTGCGTGCCACCTGCTCCGCCGCCGCCGACCTGCTCGACAGCAACGAAAAGGTCTGGCTGTCCAAGCTGCGCGAGAGCTTCGGGCTGAACCTCAAGGTGTGTGCGGGTGTTGAATGCATGTGTGAGGGCGCTAGGAGGATAGCGCGATTGACAGGCCTGGCCTTGGGGCCAGGCGGCGCCGCCGGGCGGACGGTGGAACGCCGAGCGTTCCTCCTGAATGTGTCCCCTGAACGAGTTGGTACACGCCACAGCCAAGAACTGGACACGGCACGCCCAGCGTTTCTTGCACCCCGACACCACCACCAAATGCGCTGCCACCCGCTGGCGCAGGCGCTGGCGGCCGACTCCGACGCCCTGTTTGTGCGCCTGGCCCGGCGCGTGTTTGAGGCGAGCCGCGCCCAGCAGCTGCGCTTCCAGGGCGTGTTTGTCAACGGCGGCGTGGATGAGGTGGGCGGGGCCGACGCCTCTGCCCAGCAATGCGTCCGCTGAACAGCACCGCCCTGCCGTTGCATGCGCCCTCTGCGCATCCCATTGCCGGCTGGCTTGCAACGCCGCTGCCTCGCCCGGCTGCGTCCCCTTTCCCACACACATTTCTCTGCGCCCGCCGCAGGATGCCATGCACTACTTTGTGGACAACCTGTTCCGCGCCGACAAGGCGCCCTACTGCTCCAACTGCTCCCGCGACGCAGACTGCATCGCGCTGCTGCTGGTGGGGCGCCGCCGCCGGTGCTGCCTGGGATGAAGGGTTGCATGGAGAGGGCCGGGGCCCTGCGGGCACCTGCCTGCCGTGCGCTGACGCTGCACTCTGTGATGCTGGCTTGTCGGCGGTGTGTCGCAGGACGGGGAGGTGCCGCGCGACGCCGAGTTTGCGCGCGTGCGGCAGTACATGATTCGCCGCTGCCGCTACGCCGCCGCGCTCATCCTCAACGTGCAGGCAGGGCGACCCGCTGCAGCCAGGGCCGCTGCCGCCGCTACCTCCCTCGTTGTGCGGCCCGCTGCATGCAGCATGGCGTGATGTCCCGCCCCGCCCACCTTGCCTCACCCCGTTGCCCGCCCGCTCCCTGTGCCCGCCTGCCTGGCGCAGATGCCTGAGCATGGTCGCGACCCCGATGACATCATGCACATCCTGGAGGACTGGACAGACATGCAGCTGGAGGGGTTCTTCAAGTGAGGGCCGGGCGCAGCAGGCACAGCAGGCCGGCCGACGGGCCTCGCCCCGTCCAGCGCTGGTGCGGCGCTGCACGCGCAGCGCGGGCGGCCCACCCTGCCCGTGGCACCGCGCCTGCCGCCTGCCTGCAGGGACCTGGTGAGCGCGATGCAGGCGGAGCACGCGCTGGGGCGCCTGCTGGTGTTTGACATCCCTCACGAGCGGCTGGCGGCGGAGGAGCAGAAGATCCTGGGGGTGCACCAGGTGGGCGTGTGTGGGCGTGGGTGTGGCTAGGGGTGGCTGTGTGGTGGGTGATCGGCCCCGGGGCGCCGCGTCTTTGCCCCTGCCACCAGCAACGTGCCTTGGGCTGCCTGACCCACGCCGCGCCTGCCCGCCTGCCCGCCCCGCCTCGCAGTGGCTGCTGGACCGCCCCAAGGCGATGAAGGCGGCCATGCTGAAGCCCGGCGGCGACGGCAACGCCATGCTGGACACGAGCGTGCTGCCCAAGCTGACGGCTCAGGGGGGCAAGCGGCTGGCAGGTGGGCGGGCCGGGTGGGCGGGCTGGTGGGGTGCAGGCTGGCTGGTCAGCACGGGCGCTTGTTCCCAGCCGTGTGCTGCCGGTTGTGCTTGGATGGCAGGCGGCTCCACCCATGCGCTGGCTGGCTGAGGCCTGCCGCCCCACCTGCAGGGGTGGTGCACGAGGTGTCGCTGTCGCGCGTCGGCAACCTGACCTGCCCCGTGTCAGGCAAGCACGGAAGCAGCTCAGCTCTCACAGCTGAGCAGCGGCGGGCTCCCGATGTCGTCTGGCATCCAGGGCTCCATGCGGCCTCTCACTGCACCGCCTGCACTTCTCCCCCATCCCCTGGATGCTCTGCAGCCGGAGCGGTGGTTGTGGGTTCCATCGACCACAGCAAGGTCGCGGGGTGGGCGCCAGAGGAGGTGCTGGCGCTGCTGCAGGCTGCGGCCTGCGACCCCGCCTGCACCGCGCTCAACGGCATGGTGGATGCGGTTGAGGTGCAGCGGGCGGCGGCAGAGGGGTTGCTGCCGCCCATTGTCGCCACAGACCAGACGCTGGCGGGCGTGTGGCACGAGTTTGACACCACCCCAGCCGCAGCGCAGGCAGCGGCGGCAGCTGCACAGGGCGTCGGCACCAGCGCTCAGCACGCTGCTGTGCAGCAGCAGAAGCCAGGCCAGCACCACGCACAGGCTGGGCCCTCGGCGGCGCCGGCTGCGCCGGCGGATGCCGAGGCGGGGCCCAGCAGCGGCGCGGACCAGCAGGTCCGGGCGTCGGCGGCGGGGATCGTCACCTGGAAGCCGCTGCTGTGGTTCAAGTTTCACTCTGTTGATGAGTCCAATGCGTTTGTGTACCACCACCGGCAGCTGGTTGAGCAGCACGGCTCGCAGGCGACGGTGCGGCACCACGGCCCGCCGCCCACCCGCCGCTGCCACGTGCCAGCGCAGGAGGGCGAGCAGCTGATTGTTGGGCCCAGCATTCCGTGGGTCTTGCAGCATCCGGGCGGTCCGATTGTGCCGCTGACGCTTGAACAGATGCAGCAGCATCTGCAGCAGGGGCAGCAGCAGCAGCAGCAGCAGCAGCAGGGAGGGCAGGCCTTGCAGCAGGGCCCTGCACCGCACCATCCCCAGCAGGCGGTCGCGGTTGGCGTGCCTGCGGCATGGCAGCCATATCAGCACGGGGCAGCAGCAGCAGCAGCAGCAGGCGTGCCACTGCAGCCGGGCTTGCCACCCGCGGCAGGGGGGGTGTTGGCAGTCGGCATGCCGCCAGCCCCTGCCAGCACGGATGGGGAGGAGGATGAGGAGGGCAGCAGCGATGAGGAGGGGGGCAGCCAGGGGGCCGACACTGACATGGGGGAGGATGATTCAGGTACGGCTGGCTGGGTGCCATGCAGGGTGGTGGGGACGTGCCAGGTTGTGCTGCTATGAGGGTGCCACCTTCGCTCTGTGGGCTGCTGCAACCACCCTCCATCCCCAGACGTCTGAATTGCGCTGCCCGAGTGACTTTGACTGCGCCGCGCTCTGCAGATGGCAGCGGGTCGGACATTGATGAGGCGGCGGAGGCGCAGGGTGCGTGGCTCAACCACTGGGCCCAGGACGAGTTTGGGGCAGACCTGCAGCAGCAGGTGCGCAGGGCAGGCCCGGGAGTGGCACTGGCGAGACGCGCAGCGAGTTGGCAGCACCGGCGGGAGCCGTGGCCTGTCTCTTGAGAGGCACGGGTTCCTTTGCCTGCACAGCGGGCGTTGTCAGGCCGCCAGCTGGAACGTAGCATTTTGCCGAGGCTGGGTGTCCCAGGATACGTGTGTGCTCCTCTTGCGGTGCAGGAGCAAGATGTGGTGGTGGCGGGGCAGGGCTTGCCGTTCGACCAGATGGATGAGGGCAGCAGCAGCGATGGTGATGATGAGGGCGCGCTGGAGGAGCACTTTGAGCTGGGCCTGGGCGGCATGGATGGCAACGGGGTCGCTGGGGGCGCTCCCGTCGGAGGCGCCGCTGCCGCTGGCCAGCAGCAGCCGGTGGTGCAGATGAGCGCGGCGGAGACGCTGCTGCGGGCTCTGACGCGGCGCAACACGCGCGCGCGCAACCGGCTGCGCGTGCCGCTCAGCCGCCCCACGGGCGCCAACATCATGCTGGTCAAGCTCATCAGCCAGGTGGGTGATGGTGTACTACGGGGGTGGGTTGGCAAAGCTCCAGAGCAGCGGTGTGGGTTGCCCTTGCAGTTCCATCGCCTGATATGCTGCACCTGCAGGAGAACCTGATGGAACAGTATGGCGACCCGCACACCTGGCCCAACATCGACATGACCCTGGTGGAGCTCATTGGCAAGCTGGTGGAGCTGCCGCCGGGTGTGACGTTGACGCCCTGAGGAGCGGGCGGGCGTCGTGCCTTCTGTTGCTTTTGGTCCGGTCGCCAACCAAGACTTACTGTTGAGAGCTTTTTTGCAGATGACTGTGTGATGTAAGTGTGCATCCAGAAATGACTCCTGAAACAGGCCGCTAGCGGAGTGCCGGGGTGACGCCGCCAGCTGTACAAACCAGTCTCTGATTTTTTTTCAACGCTGTGTTTGTTTGCTGTCGCAACTTCTATATCAAGCCGCAATGCCAGGCTGCTTCTGCATTGGGAAACCGCCCGCATCTGGGGCCGAGACATTCAAGGGGCCGAGCCTTTCAATGGGCCCGCCCGGGACGGTCCCCATCAAGCACCGCAATCTGGAGCCTGCAGCGAGCGTGGGGGGACGAGCCGAACCGCTTATCGCAGCAGCGGTCAACGCTTTTGTCGCAGAGGCGGGTGGGCCGCCGGTCTCTCCTGAATTGGACGGCAACAGCGGCCAGAAGCAGCAGAGTGCAGATGCCGAGGCAATTGACGCCAAGGCAATTGAGGTGGCTGAGGACCTGCAGCCGCGGCGGCGGGCGGTCGCAGCAGCGGCCCCTGCAACAGAAGGAGAAGCAGAAGCCGGAGAAGGGGCCCCGGTGGATACAGCAGAAGCAAGGGTCCCGAGTGGGGCTGCCGAGACGGACAAAGAGGTGGCGGCAGCAGAGGCGGCAGTTGAGGCAGCAGATGGCGACAGCTTGCAGCCTCCCGAGGAGGTGCTGCCACAGGCGGAGTCAAGCCACGACCCGCTGCTGCCAGCAGACGGCTCAGAGAGCCGGATGGGCAGTGTCAGTGCAGCAGATGGGGCCGCCGCAGCGGCTGGGCAGGCCAGCGAATTAGGCGGCCGGCAAGGCGACCATTCGGCAGCAGCGGCAGGTTCGATGCCTGGAGAAGCAGCAGAGACTGGTTGCGAGGCAGGTGCCGACAGCGGCAGGAGCAGTTTCCAGGAGCCGGCAGAGGAGGGCAGCCAAGTGGCGCTTCTGCCGCCGGCGGAGGTTTCGCTCAAACAGCCCCGCCTGTCCCAGCTGTCCTCCTTCCTCTCCTGCACCAGCAGCAGGGCTGGCGGCGACAACGGGGAGACGGTCTCGAAGCGGCAGGTGCTGACTTTGATTGTGCAAGAAGTCATCACACTTCCTCATGCATGACGGCACCAAAAGCCACTGCTTGCTCCCTGCATGTGTGCAGACCCCATCAATCCCACCAGAAGCAGGCCAGCTCCCGCAACTAGACTTTGGTGCGGCGGCTGCCGAGCTGGTTCTGCTGCCGCGCTCCAAGCTGCTGCCGCTGGCGCATCCGGAGCAGGCGCTGGCGGATGCAGCTGGCATGCTGGGAAGGCAAGCTGGGTGCATGGCGGGTGGCGTTTGAGGTGCAAATCAGACGTGGCTTGGGACTGCCTCCCGTTTGATGCATGCGCAGCGCTCCTCCCAACCTGCTCTGTGCATGGCGGGCGTGACACCCGGCACATGCAGGCAGGAGGTCCCCACGCTGCTGACGGCGCTGCTGACATTGCGACGAGTGGCCATCCACCACCATTTGGTGAGCAGCTGCCGTGCGAGCAGTATGCATCACAGGGTGGTTGATCTGTCCAGGGGCGTACTCCGGACCTGCTGAGTGCTCAACTGCGTGCGCAATACCTGCCCCACAGCTGCTGGGCGACAGCCTGGAGGATGTGGTGGCGCTGCTGATGGAGTGCCTGCACGGCGGTGATGCGGCGGTGGGCCAGGCAGCCACGCTGGCCCTGCTGGACCTGCTCGTCTCCTTTGGCAGCGCGATGCTGCGGCACTGCGAGAACCGCACGATGCCGCAGTACAGCTGCCTGCTGGGCCTGCTGCTGGCCGCCAGCTGCGGGCGCACCCCCGCCATCCGCCACTATGCCAACGAGGCGCTCAGGTGGGCTGCTGGCCCTGCTGCTGCTGCTCCCACATGCATCCTGTCAGCGGTTGGCGCCCACCCCCTCCTGCCGTACACCGCTGACAATGCGGACCCAGCTTGCAGGCACATGGCGGAGCGGCTGAACCAGCTGAAGGTGATCCGCCTGCTGGAAGCCTACCTGGACCACCCGCAGGCTGCCGTGCGCAGCAAGGCTGCGGAGCACCTGATGAGGTGCACCTACCGGCGGCCAGACGACACCACCCCGCCACGCTCCCCCGCCAGGCCCGCCTCGCCTGTCATCAAGTGGAGGGGCTGAGCTGCAGGCCGGCATTGGATGGGTGTGCCTCCGTCCGTTGCTGCACTGGCTGCACAGAGAGAGCACAAAAGAAGCCCACACACAAGCCCGCATGAGCAGAGGCTGTTTACAAGCGCATTGGAGCAGGTATGAATGAATGGGTGTGAGTGCTGTGAAAGAGAGCAAGAAGGAAAGGCTGCGACGGCGATCACCGCCTTCCAAACAAGTTGCGGAGCCAATCAGGCGGGCTGTTGGCTGGGCTGCCAACACACAGAGAGGGCTGCTGCTCAAGCGGCAACTGGAGAGCATTCCATCGCAGGCCACTGCCGGTGCCTGTTGATGCGCCACCGGCAGGGCTGAGCACAAACTGAGGCTGCTGCTGCCGCTGCTGCCGCTGCCGCTGCTGCCGCCGCTCAGCCTCTGTCGGGTGCTGGCCATTCTGCTGCGCCTCCAAGTCTGGCCCTCCGCCATCGTTCCGCATTTCCCGCAGCTCTAAGGGCGCTGCCGCCGCCCCTCCTGCTCCTGCTGCTGCTGTGCCCTGGTGCTTGCGCCGGTCAGAGCCCCAGGGCAGGCAGGAATTCAGGCTGCCTATCACTGCTGTCAGGGGCATGACGGCATAGTTGAGCGAACCCCAGGGGGTGGGCTGCGGCGGGTTGATGAGGCAGCCAAACAGGCAGGCATCATACTGCTGCCGGGTGGGGATGGGCTGCCGTCCCGTCCTGCAGCAGGCGGCAATCAAGACCTAAGCAGGGAACAGGCAGATCAGCCGTCCTGCCAGCCAGCCAGAGGGGCACAGCACTGTGCGCGCACTGCACCCTCCCTGCGCCGCCCTCCCTGCGCCGCCCTCCCTCCGCGACCTGATGGTGTAAAAGTTGGGCAGCACCGCCAGCTCCTGGAAGCCAGCCCGCTGGTAGAAGGCCAGCGCCGGCAGGTTGAAGCTGGCGACGTGCAGGTAGACGGCGCGGCAGGCGGTCTCCGCAGCATAGCGCAGCACAAAGTCCAGCAGCCGGCGCGCGATGCCGTGGCGTTGATAGGGCTGCGCCAACGGCCGGCGTGGGTGGGCGGGTCGGTGGGTAGCGGGCTCCCTGTGCATGAGTGGGCACATGCTGCGTAAAGGCTGCACACCAGACGTACCACATGCTGCTCACCTCTGCCACCCCCAGGGTCAGCACATACAGCAGGCTCTCCTTGTCCACCTCCGGCCCGTCCAGGCCCAGCAGCTGGCGGTCTCGAGGGTCGGCATACAGCGCGGGGAAGGAGCGGGCTGCATGGCAGACGGAAGGCGAGCAAGGTGGCAGGGCACCGGCTTGGCAGGCTGGCTGCCTCTCGGGATGGCTGGCTGGGCGACATGACCACCAGCAGGACAGCTCCAACGGGCAGGCTTTTCCACCACCAGGCCTTTTCTCACCTGTGATGAAGCCAGCCAGCATTTCAGTCGCCTCGCTCCCTTGCACGCCCACCTGCTTGGGCGGCGGCGGCGGCTGCGACTGCTGCGGCTGCTGCAGCTGGGGCGCCAGGTCAGGCCCGACGCTGAGGTGTGTGAGGGTCGGCAGCGGCGCCGACGCGGCCCAGGCCACAATGCCGTCCAGGCCCTGCACTGCTCGGTGGTAGAAGAAGTCGTCATAATCGAGGGGGAAGAGCCGCTGGTGCAGCAGCTTGAGGGAGGCAAAGTCGTCGGGATGCAGAGGCCTGCAGGGAGAGAGAAGTCAAGGCGGTTGCTTACATGAGAGTTGATTACATGAGAGTGAATTGAGGAGAGGAGAGGTTTCAGTCGGGGTAAGGGAAGGGGCGAGAAAATTGGCACGGGTGCGCGGCGGCGGTGGCGGTGGCGGTGGCGGCGGGCGGTGGTGGCAGCCATAGCGCGGACTGTCCAGCTTCCAGCACGGCACTTGTGCGTCACATGCGGCCAAACCTGAAGTACACGCCGCTGGAGGTGCCGGGCATGTGGCGCAGGCTGCCCATCCCCTGTCTTGCCCCCCGGGGTGACTTGCACCCGCCGGCAATCGTTTGTCTTGTCGGGCAGCTAGATGGCGACGTGGGCAGCGAGAAGAGTGCTGGGCGAGAGAACTCGCCGCCTCAAACGCGGAAGCCAAGCCGGGTCAGGTGCTGCAGGGCACTCGAATTGCAGCGTGTGATCGTGATCATCCGGCAGTTAGGATGGAGACTGCGGCTCGGTCCAAGGTGGCCCGCGCCACGTCGCAGCCCGCATCATTGCCCGCGCGCAGCCCACACCGTCCTCCAGAGCGAAGAGCAATCCCGCACATCCGCTCTGCCACCGCAAGAGACGTCCCGCTTCCCAGCTGGAGGGTGCCTGCTCCCCTCCGACGCCGCCGCTGGTGCTCAACAGAGGCAACATAGCTGTGCCTGGGAAAGGCCTGCTCCCACTTTCGCCATGGCTACTCCCTGCTGCTGGCGCTTCGCCCGGCTGCGGCTCCTGCTGGCGGCGCTGGCGCTGGCGGCGGCGCACACGTGCCTGGGCCGCTCGCTGCAGCAGCGGCCTGGCGCCGCTGGCGACTATGATGTGGTCGTGGTGGGCGCCGGCATGGCAGGCATCGCAGCGGCCCGCACCCTGGCCGAGGCCGGGCTGCGGGTGCTGGTGCTGGAGGGCAGGGATCGCGCGGGCGGGCGCCTGGCCTCCATCCAAGTCCTTGGCGGTTTCGTCGACGCTGGAGCCATGTGGATTCACGAGGGGCAGCCAGGCAACGCCCTGTACGACCTGGCCCTTGGCATGGGCCTAGCTGTCAGCCCGCAGCAGAACTACAACAGCCTCACAATTTACAGCGCCGCCAACGGTACGCGGGCCAGCCCGTTGAGCTACGCACGCACGTACCGCCAGCTTCAGACCAAGGTAACGGGGAGGGAGGCTTGGCAGTAGTGCCTCCCTGCCCTGGCACCAGTGGGCGAGCGCCTGGTGCTGATAAGACAAGCTCATGGCCACCCTTGCCACCTGTGCTGCAGCTTGTCCCCGAGATCCAGCGCATGCGCTCGACGCCCGGCACCGCCGACGCTTCGCTGGCTGCCGTGTATGCTGCCTTCCTCGACCAATCCAGCTTCACACCCTCGGAAGTGGGCCAAGCAAATTCCATGTGGGTGGTCTTTGCTGTGTGGAGGCACGGGTATGCCTACCGCGCCACGCACGGCGGTAGTGCCCTGTTGGGCCGTGACGCCCGTGCTGCCCAGCCCTGCCCTGCAGCATGCACACCAAGTGGCAGCTGCAGCCTGCAGGCGCTGCTCAACGGCAACGCCACCCAGCTGTCCACGCTGCGGCTGGGAGATGCCAAGAGCATCCCAGCCGTAGATGTGATGATATCGGAGGGCTTCAACGCGGTAGCAGACGTGCTGAAGCAGGGGCTGGACATCCAGTATGGTGCCGGTGACTACCACCTCCCGGATCCAGCGCTCACGCTTAACAGCGCTCATGCTTGGCTCAGTGCAGTTTGGCGAGCACATCCGCCTCTCTGCTGGCCACATGCCCGTGCATCTCCATGCCTGCAGTGGTGACCGGGATCGAGCGGGGCGCCGAGGCGGTGACCGTGACCACGGCTGACGGCGGTGCCTACGGCGCAGAGTATGCGATTGTGACAATCTCCCTGGGCCTACTGAAGCAGGACGCCATCGCCTTCACCCCGCCTCTGCCCCAGCAGAAGACGGCAGCCATTGCTGCCATGGCGAGTAGAAGGCTGCGGCCCTGCTGGGCAGCCCCGGCACTCGCATGAGCCCGCTGCCGGGTGGCATCACATGTGCGGCAGCCCACCTTCCCCGGTGCTTCATTCGTGCAGGGCTACGGTCTCCTGGACAAGGTCATGCTCGTCTTCAACACAACCTTCTGGGATGCCGGCTCCGACTTCATCCTCAGGGAGATGCCCGACCTGAGCGGCCGCTTCGCCGTCTTCCTGAACTACAATAAGCTTTTCCCCGGCATCAACGCCCTGGTGGCCATCCACGTGGCAGACACGGCGGCGGCGCTGGAGCAGCAGAGCGACGCGGAGGTGGTGGGGGAGGGCATGGCAGGTCGGTGCGGGGTGGGGCAGGGCGGACAGGCCAGGGCCGGGCAGGCCGGGGGAAGAAGGCGGGCGGGCACGGCGGCAGCGCATAAACCCAGGGCCACCGATACCGCCGCCCAGCCTCATTCCTGCCCTGCTTCGATGCAGTGCTGCGCCAGCTGTACGGCGCCGCCGTGCCCGACCCCATCCAGGTCACCGTCACGCGCTGGGCAGCCGACCCCTTCTCCCGCGGCTCCTACTCCTTCTTCGCCGTGGGCAACCCCAAGAGCATCACCGCCGAGCTGGAGGCCCCCGTGGGCCGCCTGCTGTTTGCCGGGGAGGCCACCAGCGACAAGCCCGCCACCGGTGTGTGTGTTGCGTTTTCGTGGTGTGCAGCTGCCAACCACCCGCGCCCGCCGTGCATTCTAGCCACTCCCTGATCAGCTGCGCCCACTGTGCCAACTGCCCTGCAGTGCTGGGCGCCTATCTGAGCGGGCTGCGCGAGGCGAAGCGTGTGCTGGGTCTGCTGGGGGTGGACGGCGGTTATGCCTCCCCCGCCGCCGAGGCCTCCATCTAGGCACATCCGCAGACGGCGCTCGCCATGTGCAGCTGCTAAACTTATATGCAGTTCATGTATGTACGTGTGGCATTCACAACCAAAAGAGTGCCGAAGTTGAGCAAGTATGAAACACTGCAGTTTATAGCACCCTGTTGGGGCTTGCACAACCTTGGTTTCCACCGACTGTAAGTGACAACCGGGGCGTCACAGCCGCGCGGCCGCCGCGTTTCACTCGTCGTCCAGGCACGCCACGCCGGGCAGCACCTTGCCCTCCAGCAGCTCCAGGCTGGCGCCGCCGCCGGTGCTGCAAGACAAGACAGGGACAGCCAGAAGGGACGCAGCCGCAGTAGCTTACACAACCATCCACAACACACTGTAGAGATTTGGGTTGGACGTTGCTGGCGCCGTCGCGCCCCTGGGCTGCACCCACCGCACCTGATGTGGCTCATCTTGTCAGCCAGGCCCGCCTGCTCCACCGCCGCCACAGAGTCGCCGCCGCCGATGATGGTGGTGGCGCCTGCGGGGGCGCAGCCAAACGGAGGGGTAATCAGAGGCTGGGAGGATGCCTGAGCACACCTGGCATCACACCAGGGCACCCGCCCCTGTTCACCCTTGCTCGTCATGAGATCCGCTTGCGGATCTCGTCATGAGATCCGCAAGCAGCGTGGAGATGGCGTTGGTGCCAGCAGCAAACTTGGGGAACTCAAACACTGCACACAAGCACACGAGCAGCAGGAAGCCGAGGAGGCCAGCAAGGAGGGAGTCGGGTGAGGTGACCGCGGCGGCGGCGGCTGGCGTTATGCAGCATCACAGCTCTCCCGCATGCATGCGGGCGGCGCGGGCGGGCGCCCGCGGCGGCGTCTCACCGCCCATGGGCCCGTTCCACAGCACGGTCTTGCAGTCGGACAGCGCCTTGTTGATGAGGGCGTTGCTTTCGGGGCCCACGTCCAGACCCTGCAAGCGTCCATACAGTTTGGCCACGGTGCCGATTGCAATGCCGCGGAGGCTGCTGCCTAGCTGGTGGGGTCGCCACCGGGTTTGAGGACGGGGGAGCCTCCATCTGAGATGATGCTGAGAGCGTCAGGGGTGGCGAGCTGCCCGACTCGCCACCAGGCTGAGTAGACGGTGGAGCCCTGGTGCCAGCTGATCTGCTGCCGCCTTGAGGAACCACAGCGGCAGCACGCCTGCCACTGCCTTGCGGAAATTGGTCTGGCTGGCGAATGCTGCGACTTCTGCTGCTGTGATTGGGCTGCCCAGCCGGGCTGCGAGGATGGCAACATCTGGCTGGGCTGCTGTTGGTGCCGGCAGGCGGGTGGCTAGCCGGCTGCGCTGCTGCTGCTGTCGTGGCGGGCGGTTGTGGCGGCTGATTGCAATTGGGTCGAGGGCAGGGGCAGTGGGGCCGTGGTGGTTGGAGGTTCTGGTGGCAGGGGGTCTGGCGGTGGATCTGGTGGGGGGTGCAGCGTTGGGGGTGGGGGTGGGGGGGCGGTGCTGAGCAGGTGGCGGAAGTGGTGCGGAAGTGAGTGAACAGCCTGGGGCGGCGTATCGGGAGATGCAGCCAAATTCACCCGACGTTCTTCTTCTTGCCAATTGGCTGCTGTCGTCAACGAGCGAAGGGCGAAGGGCCTACAGCGGCGTCAACCGAGTGAGTGTGCGCAGCCCTATCTAACAGCTTAGGGTAGACCTGTCGGGTGCAACGCGCCTGCGCCTGGGCCTTTACAGCACCCAGCGCTTGGCCTGCATACCCCGCCATCAGATGCTGCCAACGGAGGCGCAGCTGGGTACCAGTTTGGCGCGTGACACCCCACCCACGCGTGACATGGTGCGGCTGCATATGCTCCTATGTTACCAGTTTGGTAACATTAGCAGTGCACGCCCCCTCTCTCACTGCAGGCACCCGCTTCGTCGCCATGCTGAGGCTCACCGTCCTGCCCCTGGCCATGCTGCTTCTGGCGCTGAGCGGTCCACCGGTCGCTCCCGCCGCGGGCGCCACAACTCCGTCTCCCAAGCCCCCCTCTCCAAAGCCTAAGCCGCCGCCCAAGCCCCCCTCCCCAAAGCCCAAGCCGCCGCCCAAACCCCCGTCCCCAAAGCCCAAGCCGCCGAAGCCTCCGTCCCCAAAGCCCAAGCCGCCGCCCAAGCCCCCCTCCCCAAAGCCCAAGCCGCCTCCCAAGCCGCCTTCCAGCATCGCTCTCACCGATTGGCACGTCGTCTTGCTCCTTGAGGACGGGGTCCGCAGGTCAACCATTGCCCAAAAGTTGAAGTTGAAGTTCATCGTCGCTGGGCTGCCTTGGGCCAAGAACGTTGACTTCCCTTTTGTCCTTGAGGCGCTTCATTCTTTATTTTTTCTCTCTTTACCTGACACTCCTCCAGTACCTGCCAGCTCACCGGTACGTGTTGCCATATCAAAAATTATTGTGCTCTCAAAAGCGACGGGAGGCCTAGGCCTGGGGGGTGCCAATCCCGCCGAGGTCGCGCTTGTCATCGCCGATGCCATCATTGCCGAACTGAGAAAGTACCCCCTGCCCACCATTCCCAAAACACGTTGACCCGGGCCTGAGCCGCCCTGCGCTCTTATGTGTGCATCACTCACACCTGTGTCCTCCTGGCTGCCTGTCGCCAGTGGTTGCCCCCCACTCACGGTCACCGCTGAAACCCTCACATGCCCACTTCCCCCCTCAATCCGCATTCACCCCCTTGCCTCGAGCCCCCAGTGCCTCTTGACACCCCAACCACACACCATCGTCACCACCCTCCTCGCACCCCCCCATCCCCTCCTCTCTTTCGGCGTGCATATATTGGCACCTGTCTGTCTGTCTGTCCGTCCGTCTGTCTGTCTGTCTGTCTGTCTGTCTGTCTGTCTGTCTGTCTGTTACACCCATAAGGAGCAAATGCATGCTACGGGCCCAGCTGTGGTGCAGCAGCTGGAAAGGTGAAGGCACCATACACAAACGGGGAGAGAGAGGGGAGGGGTGGGGTGCAGACAGAGCAGGGGGGGAGAGGAGTTTGATTGGGGCGGGTCTCCCTGGGGACAGTGCGGCTCAGCTGCGCATTTCATTCAGGCGGCTGCATGCCGCAAGAAGGCGCGGGACGCCATGAGCCCACAACAGCATTGTACCTTGATTGATCTTTATATTGTGGTTTGTTTGCTTTATCGGGTGGAAATCATTCAGTCAGTCAGTCAGTCAGTCAGTCAGTGCATGGCGGGGGGAGGAGGAAGAAGCGGTGAACTCTCTCGCTGGGACCGGCTGGCCGCCCCGGGGCCCTGGATACCCAGGGCCCCTAGGCGCGTGGCCGCACTGCCCCAGGGAGACCCGCCCCAATCAGACTCCTCTCCCCCCTGCTCTGTCTGCACCCCGCCCCTCCCCTCTCTCTCCCCGTTTGTGTATGGAGCCTTCACCTTGTCCAGCTGCAGCAGCACAACTGCGCCCGTAACATTCACTTGCTCCTTATGGGTGTAAAGGTAAAGGTAAAGGTGGGGAAGAGCCTCCACAAGCTTCACTTCCCGGTTTTAACGTCTAGCTTTAGACCATTATTTGATCTGCCCGACGCGCCAAGTGCAGTACCCCCCACTAGTAGTGAATGGGTCCCGGGGAGGCCTGTGCCGAAGCCTTGGCGATTCTATTAGGCGTTCCCGAAGGAATTGGCTTGGATTGGCGCTGAGCCGGTCAGCTATGCCGCGTTTGTCCTCACAAAGTGTAACCGACAGACAGACAATGAATGACATTCAAAATGACAGACACAACAACGTCACAGTACGCCTCTGCCTGGTATGCCTCGTGCCAACCGGTGCGGTCGCAGCTTATTGAAACAAGGGCTGCCCCCATGGGCCAGCTGCTGCCTCAGCGCCAGCTAAGCAGTGCAGGCTTCAGAACCCCGGCAGCTCAGCCAGGTTTAGTACGCCAGCTGGCAGCGCCGCCGGGTGATGCAGCGCCAATCGGTTCTGGCGGACCGCCTGCAGGTGGGTGGTGGATGGTGGTGGCTGGGGGTGGGGAGGGGCAAGGCAAAGTAAAACGGCCGATCAAGTGTATTTAAGTTGCCAACCGTTATTAAAGCTTTTCCCCGGCATCAACGCCCTGGTGGCCATCCACGTGGCAGCCATGGCGGCGGCGCTGGAGCAGCAGACCGACGCGGAGGTGGTGGGGGAGGGCCTGGCAGGTCGGTGCGGGGTGGGGCAGGGCGGACAGGCCAGGGCCGGGCAGGCCGGGGGAAGAAGGCGGGCGGGCACGGCGGCAGCGCATAAACCCAGGGCCACCGATACCGCCGCCCAGCCTCATTCCTGCCCTGCTTCGATGCAGTGCTGCGCCAGCTGTACGGCGCCGCCGTGCCCGACCCCATCCAGGTCACCGTCACGCGCTGGGCAGCCGACCCCTTCTCCCGCGGCTCCTACTCCTTCTTCGCCGTGGGCAACCCCAAGAGCATCACCGCCGAGCTGGAGGCCCCCGTGGGCCGCCTGCTGTTTGCCGGGGAGGCCACCAGCGACAAGCCCGCCACCGGTGTGTGTGTTGCGTTTTCGTGGTGTGCAGCTGCCAACCACCTGCGCCCACCGTGCATTCTAGCCACTCCCTGATCAGCTGCGCCCACTGTGCCAACTGCCCTGCAGTGCTGGGCGCCTATCTGAGCGGGCTGCGCGAGGCGAAGCGTGTGCTGGGTCTGCTGGGGGTGGACGGCGGTTATGCCTCCCCCGCCGCCGAGGCCTCCATCTAGGCACATCCGCAGACGGCGCTCGCCATGTGCAGCTGCTAAACTTATATGCAGTTCATGTATGTACGTGTGGCATTCACAACCAAAAGAGTGCCGAAGTTGAGCAAGTATGAAACACTGCAGTTTATAGCACCCTGTTGGGGCTTGCACAACCTTGGTTTCCACCGACTGTAAGTGACAACCGGGGCGTCACAGCCGCGCGGCCGCCGCGTTTCACTCGTCGTCCAGGCACGCCACGCCGGGCAGCACCTTGCCCTCCAGCAGCTCCAGGCTGGCGCCGCCGCCGGTGCTGCAAGACAAGACAGGGACAGCCAGAAGGGACACAGCCAGAGGAGCTTACACAACCATCCACAACACACTGTAGAGATTTGGGTTGGACGTTGCTGGCGCCGCCGCGCCCCTGGGCTGCCCCCCCCCCCGCACCTGATGTGACTCATCTTGTCGGCCAGGCCCGCCTGCTCCACCGCCGCCACAGAGTCGCCGCCGCCGATGATGGTGGTGGCGCCTGCAGGGGCGCGGCCAAGGATAGAACGGGGGGATAATCAGAGGCTGGGAGGAAGTCTGCGCGCACCTGGCGGCACCCCAGGGCACCCGCCCCTGCTCACCCTTGCTCGTCGTGAGCTCCGCAAGCAGCGTGGAGATGGCGTTGGTGCCGGCAGCAAACTTGGGGAACTCAAACACTGCACACAAGCACATGAGCAGCAGGAAGCCGAGGAGGTCAGCGAGGAGGGAGTCGGGTGAAGTGAGAGCAGCGGCAGCGGCTGGCGTCATGCAGCATCACAGCTCTCCCGCATGCATGAAGGCGGCGCAGGCGGGCGCCGGCGGCGGCGCCTCACCGCCCATGGGACCGTTCCACAGCACGGTCTTGCAGTCGGACAGCGCCTTGTTGATGAGGGCGTTGCTCTCGGGGCCCACGTCCAGACCCTGCAGGCGTGTGTGGGGGGGCAGGTTCAGGATGCAGGCTGGGAGACGCGCCGGAATGGACAGGGAAGGGATGGGGCAGCCCACCCTGGGGAGGCTTACGGCCCGGCACCCGCCATGTCCCCCCCCCCCCCCCCCCTCCCCCCCCCCCCCCCCCCAGCTGCTGCGCTCACCATCCAGCCGTCGGGGATGGCCGACACGGGCACCACCTTGGACTCCGCGTCCGCCGCAAACTTGTCCGCCACCACCACATCCACCGGCAGCACAAACTCCACGCCCTTGGCCTGCGGCAGCACGGAGGGCGGGGTGTGCAGGCCTGTAGGGTGCTCGAGGGTGGGGACCGGGTGCGCCGCGCTGTTCCGCCACCTACTGTACTACCTCCCCTACCCCCCTCCCACCGACCCACCTTGGCCTTCTCCATGAGCTCTTTGGCCAGCTCCAGCTTGTCCTCCTCCACCAGGCTGCCCCCCACGCTCAGCCCCTGCGCCTTGTAGAAGGTGAAGATCATGCCGCCGCTGCGCACGGGGTGGGGCGGGGAGGAAAGAAGGCGAGGGAGGCGTCGCGCGGCGGCGTGCAGGAGAGCGGGTGTGAGACAGCAATCGGCCGGGGATCGGCCGGCCACCCCTCCACACCACCATGCCAAGCAGCCGCAGTCATGCCCCTGCCATGCCCCTGCCATGCCCCTAGACAAATCAGTTAGGCGTCGGCCCCAGCGCCCCCGCCCGCCCCGCGCCTCACCCCAGCACCAGCTTGTCGCACTGCCCCAGCAGCGCCTCGATCACGCCGATCTTGGAGGAGACCTTGGAGCCGCCCACGATGGCGGCAAACGGCTTCTTGGGGCTGGTCACAGCGCCCACTGTGCACGGCGCCAGCGGACACGCAGCACGCGCGTCAGAAACCCTCGGAGCGGGCGGGGCAAGCACCAACCCCGGCTCACCAAAAAGGAGCATAGACCTCACGCACAGCTCACCCAGGGAGTACAGAGCGTGCGCATGTTAACACACATACACACACACACCACCACCCCCACCACCCCCACCACCAGCCCGTCCCTGCCTGCTCACCCAGGTAGTCCAGCTCCTTCTTCATCAGGAAGCCAGACACCTTGGGAGACAGGTAGGCAGCCACGCCTGCAGGGGGGGTGGGGGGCAGGGCCAGGGGCTGGTGAGCAGGCGGCTGCGGCAGGAGGCAAGGAACTGTAAGCTCAGCAGCACCGGCCCAGCCCTGCTCCAGCCCGAGCCGTGCGCTGACCTGCGGTGGAGGCGTGGGCGCGGTGCGCGGTGCCAAAGGCGTCGTTGACGTAGATGTCGCAGCCCTCGGCCAGCTGCTTGGCAAAGGCGGCGTCGTTCTTCTCCTCCTCGGGGTGCCACCTGTGGGCGGCCGGCAGGGCAGGGTGAGGGTGAGGGTGGGAGCGGGGAAACCTGGGAAGCAGCTCGGGGAACGGAGCAGGGCACAGCGCACACCAGGGGCGGTAGCGCCCCAATGAACCAACCAATTCCCGGGCATCTGCATGCCATGCACCCGCCCGCTCACCTTACGTTCTCCAGCAGCAGCACCTGGCCGTCCTGCAGCGCCGCCTTCATCTTCTGCACCTCATCCCCCACACAGTCCGGCGCCAGCTGCACCTCCTGCCCCAGCAGCTCTGCGGGCAGCGGGGGCTGCTTCGTCAGCCAGCAAGGCACCAGAGGGCAGGGCAGGGCCGCCGCACCAGCACAGGCTGCAACGAGCAGTGCCGGTAGCGACACTGAGCGGCAGCCGACGAGCGGCAGCGCAGTTCCTCACCCGACAGCCGCTTGGCCACCGGCGCCAGGCTGGTCTTCTTGTCGGCGCCCTTGGGGCGGCCCTGCACACACGGCGCGGCCAGCGGGCCCGCTCAGCAGTGGCAGCCAACCAACCCAAGCTTCTCCTCCAACTCAAGACGAGGTATGCCGGCGCGGTGGGCCTCCCAGCGCTCTGCCGCGCACCAGGTGGGAGGTCAGCACCACGCGGGCGCCCGCCTTGGTGAGGCTCTGGATTGTGGGCAGGCTGGCGCGGATGCGGGTGTCGTCCGTGATGGCCAGAGTCTCCTTGTTCTGCGGGTATCGGCGGCGGGGCGGCGCGACGGGCGGCTGGGGCTGGCACGCGGGCGTCGAGGATGACTGGGCCCAGATTGCAGGCTGAATTACAGTCTGCATGCGGCTCCATCTTTAAAACTCAGCAGCTGCAAAGCCAAGCGCAAGCAAAGAGCCTTCCCAGACCTGCTGCTGCTGCCACTGCCGCTGCCTGCCGCCGCCCTCGCCCTACCTGAGGAACGTTGAGGTCAGAGCGCACAAACACCACCTTGCCCGCCAGTTCTTCCGTCTTCAGATCGGCCACATTCTTCTTCACCATTTTTCTCCAACAAGGCGCCGCCTGCAGCAGGGGATGGGGATGGGGCGTGGGTGCGTGGACCGTGCCTCGGCGGCCCAAGCCCTCGACATCAAGGCATGGGAAGAAAACCCTATTGATCGGCGCATGCACTGGGAGCCAGGCGTCGCTTGGGCTGCCGCATGCCACCGCCGGGGTTCTTGTTGGTGGTGCACTCGGTCGCTCAACCCGACGTTTTGCTGGGCATCACAGCGCTGCGATCACCGGCAATGCCACCGATCGCGGGCTGCGTGCACCGCCGCAGCAAACCAAGGCAGGCAAGCCCACCTGCAGAAGACTGTGGCGATCGACGGTGCTTGTGCAGGTCCTGGAAGTGAATTGCACACAAGAAGAAGGCCACCAGCCGGTCAGGGAGGTTTTGGCATGCCGCCGCCAGCGAGCCGCCATACGGGAGGGCACGCCGCACAGCAGCCAAGACCATTCATATAGTTAGATCATCACTATTTTCATGTTGCCGCCATCAGAACTTCGATTACAGGAGTCACAATACAGAGGAGGCAAATTCAGGGGCTCCCCACCAACATATGAAGACAGTGCCAGCGCCAGCCAAACTGTTACCGTGCTGTCGACTCATGAACGAATGCCGGTGGCAATAAACGATGATTACGCATCACATAACAGATTCATGCTGCTCCTGCACCACCTAAACTGCTGCCTCGCCAGCATTCTACTCTGCCGCCAGCAGCAGCTTGGTGACAACCTCCTTCACCGGATGCCCCAGTGCAAACCCATCCAGCTCGGCGCAGCCCGCCAGCTCCTTGCAGGCCGCACCATGCTGCGCAACGACTTCCGCAATGGCTGCCGCCAGCTCCGGCTCCAGCCGCATCCGCAGGAAGTTGCTCTGCGGGGCGGCAACACGATGCATGCCAGGAGCACATCCAAAAAGAACCGCTGAAGAGATGCGTACACGCTACTCGCTCCAGTGCACATGTACATGCAGACCAGATGGGACACGCATCCGTGCCCACTCACCCAGGCATCCTCGCCCTCCTTGCTAGGCGGGTGCTGCCCCTGGTCGAAGGCGCTGAACACCACCACTGCCAGCTTCTTGGCCGCCTGGCGGCAGGCGGCCCCGCCCGCCAGCAGGGGCTCGCACAGCCTCAGGCAGCGCACCATGGTGTCCTGCAGGAGGTGGCCAACCACAGCGGATGAGAGGGTGATGCATGATGTGAGCAACAGTCCCAGAAGGGACCCCACCTCGTCAAATGCCTTGACATCTGTCATCGCCAGCCGGTACGCGGCCGCCACCACCACCGCTCCAGCCTTGGAGCGGATGCAGGCATGCGTCTGCGCCATCACGTCAGGCCCGGGGATGGTGGTTGTGTGGCGTGCATGGAAGGGTGGGACAAAGCAGCCGAGCCTCCACGGGCACACCCAAGGGCACACCCGACGCCCCTTGCCTACCTTGGGCGCTACGCAGTAGTTTGTGAGCATGGAGAGGCAGGCGGCGGGCGACACGCTCTCCACCATGGCACTGCAGCAGCTCAGCGAAGGCGACGGCACGTGAGAAGGAGCAGCAAGGTGAGCCCTCACAAGGATTGGCAATGTGACGCAGTGCCCAACAGGCACTGCCGGCTGGGAGATGCGCAGACGCAAGTGCCGCCCGTCCCTCACATGAGGCAGTCGTTGGCGTCCCCAGCGATGCGCTTGCTGTTCAGGTCCCCGCCCGTGGCCTTCTGCATCAGAGCCAGCAGGCTGCTGCTGGTGGGGGAGCTGTCGTCGGCCACATGGTTGCACATTGCGTCGCCAAAGCTGCGGGCAAGCAGGAGGGGTCGTGGTGCAAGGCTGGAGTCAGCCCTTAGCCTGCTCATGCTCCAGCCAGGCTATGTGGATGGCATGGCGTGCGGGTGGCACTCAGTTTCCGCGTGGCGCCATGCTCACAAACAGGTCTTTGAAGGTGAGGATGGAGGCACGCGCAGTGCTGAGCCGCGGCGCCCGCATGGCGCGCAGCAGCAGCGGCACCACCTCCGTCAGCTGCACATAGCAAGGGACAGCCGCATCAGCAATGGCCGCGTCAGCAGCTGCTGCCAACGGTAACTGTGGCCGGCCCACATGCTTGTCTGCCTTGGCACGGCTGCCCACCCATGACCGGCGGCACAGCCAGAGGTGCCAGCAGAACCGCCACCCCTTGCCTGCGGCTCCAAAGCATCCTTGCTGTGCACCGCAGCGGCCCTAATGACATGCAGGTCGGCAATGGGGTCCACCGGGCTCACGCCAGCCAGCCCCTTCATCGCCTGGGCCAGGTTGCCGGGCGGCGGCGGCTTCAGGCTGGTGCGAGAGGGCGCCTTGTAGTGCGGGCTGGGGGGCGGCGACTCGGCACGTGGCGCCTGCAGGCACGAACCCTGTTCAAGTGAGCAAGAAAGCGCTGGCGCTTACCCATGGGGGTGACCACCAGTCCACACAGCCAGCCGCAACGGGGACCGCGCACCTTGGGCTTACTGGGCGTCCCATTCCCTGCCCCCGATTTGCGCCCGGATTTAACGCGAGCGGGACGTGCGCCAGAGACAGGGTGCACGGGAGGCAGGCCAGGCGGCGCGCCAACAGGTGCAGGCTCCTTGGAAGCACGCGCGGGTGCAGGCAGCGGCTGCCTGGGGTGAGGCGCGGCATCCTGGTCGGCGCTGGGCGCCGACGCTGCCGCAGCGTCTGGCTTGGGCGCAGCCTGCAAGGCAGGCACAACCAGCAAGGCATTGCCGCTGCTCCGCAGTCGGGGCATGCTGCTGGTACTGCTGTTGCTGCTGGGCACATCTGAAGCAGGGGCAGGGAGGGCAGCTGAGTGCGGCGGGATGCACCCGTGGGCTCCTGACCCTCCACCGGCAGCATGTCCAGCAGCAGGTCTGCACCTGGCGAGATAGACCCTGCCTCACTGGGTGGGGCAGCCCCAGCAGCGGGGCCTGCTCCCTCGGGCCGCTGTGGCAGCGCTCCGCTGGGGCGGGCTGGCGCCTGCACACGGCAAGGTGGAATGCTTGCACAATCTGACGTGCAACCCTGATGCCTGCTGCCTGCAGCACTGTGTTGCAAACCGAAGGAGGCTTGCCTGGGGAGAGGTGAAGGAGTGGGCATCAGGGGGCGGCCCGGCCACCGCTTGGATGGTGATGGCTTGCGGCCGCAGCGACGGGATCACCGCGTTCAGTCCATCAGACAGGGGCGTGGACTTTGGCGGCGGAGACGGCGAGCTGCGGCGAATGGCCGCCATGTGTGCCTGGCAAGAGGGGAAGGAGAGCGACCACAGCACTGAACTGGAGGCAGCAGCTGAGTTGGGCGGCGGTTGCGGCGCCGCCACCCGCAACTCACCTCCAGCGCCTTGGACGCGGGGCCCACAACCGGCCCGGCGGCGCTTTTGCCCGCCTCTCTGGTTGGCGTAGAGCTCAGGCAGCAGAGCCAGCGCGAGGTCTTCCGCCCACCAGGCGGGTGCAACGGGGTCGCCATATTCCGCCAGCCGAGGCGTGAACTAATCCAGTGGGCAGTAATTCAATTGAATGGGGGGCCGCAGAGATCAAACAGGGTCGGTTTTCGCCGCCCGCCATTGGCGTGCGGTGCCTGCTGTCTTGCATCCCCGTCCTCTTTTCCGCGCCATCGGCCTCGAATCGATGAGATCGAAATTGGGCTGTCTGCACGCCCCAGCCTGCGGAGCGAGTTTACCACGATCGTCAAACCCGCTGCCATCGCCTCCCTCCCTTTGCCCAGATTCAATTTCAGCTCCCAGCCGCTGTCATTACCCCATGGAGGGCGTTGAGGCGTCCGCTGCCCAGCAAAACCCTGCTGGTGCGGCGGCCCCCCCTGCCAGGAACCGCAGGCGCGGCAGGGCGGTGACAGCAGCGGCAGCAGCAGCAGCAGTAGCGGCAGCAGCAGGCCGCGGCGGGAGAGGCCGATCCGCGCTGGCAGGCCGGGGCCGCGGACGCAAGCGGGCAAGGGAGCCCGACCCGCCGCCGCCGCCAGAGGAGTCTGAATCTGAGTCTGTGGAGCATGGCAGCGATGGAGGGGAGCATGGGAGCGAGGATGCCAGCAGCCGGGAGGCGGGCGCAGATGCAGATGAGCAGGAGGATGTGGGTGCAGCTGGCGCCGGCCACCCGCCGCCGCCGCAGCTCAGCGTGCGCGAGCAGGCCATCCGCCTGCTGATGCACAGCACCAGCGTGCAGAGAGAAAGGTGGGAGTGTGTGCCACATGATGCAACACAGGCATCGCAGTTTGCCAGAGCGCGAGGCTGCGGCTGCTTGCAGGTGCTGGTGTTGGCCCGCCTGACCGCCGTGCCTGGCTGTCTTCCCTGTGCTTGCACGCCCTTTGCCTGCTCTCTGCAGGGCTGAGCTGGCCATTCAGGAGACTCGAGGGGATGAGGAGCCGCAGGATGCAGTGGACTGGGTGAC